GGCGCTAAAATTCCTGGTTATGTGTGTGGCAAGAATGTCCTTCAGGATGCAGATGCACCCGCCTGCACTGGGAAGCCCTCTGCTGCCACCACAGCCTGCGCCCTTCCTCTAAGAAAGGGGTGAAGAGACAATGACTGGTTCATCTTTTTTGAGTGACTTATCTGCTGCATTTAAGCTTCTCAGGGTCTTAAGAGCAGAGTCAGTGTCTCTATCATTGCTACAATAGAGGGTTGTAGGTGGCTGCCTATGTCTGCTAGTGGTGATAAAGGTGTTCTTTTTAAAAATATATTTTTATTGATTTCAGGGAGGGAGAGGGAGAGAAACACCAATGATGACAGAGAATCATTGATTGGCTGCCTCTTGCACACCCCCTACTGAGGATCAAACCCGAAACCCAGGCATGTGCCCCTGGCCTGAATTGAACCTAGGACCCTTCAGTTTGCAGGCTGATGGCTCTGTCCACTGAGCCAAATCAGCTAGTGTGATAAAGGTGTTCTTGAATTTCTCTGAGGACCTTAATTGATGTCCTCTCCTCCCCTCCCCCCCCCAATTGACTAGCAGAGCAAATTCTATTTGGCACTTAAACTAATACAGGCATACTTGGGAGATATTTCGAGGCTGGTTCCAGACTACCGCAATAAAACTAGTCATAATCTTTTTGCTGGAGGGTCTTGCTTTCATTTTGTAAAACGTACCATGTTCTGTGAAGTACAGTAATGGGAGGCACAATAAAACGAGGTATGTCTATAGTTATAACTGGTAGTTTCGACTTCCTGTCCCACCTCTCTTCCCTTTGACCTCTACCTCCACACCAGGCAAGATTAAAATGCTTCAATCTCCTGAGGTCAGTTCTTTGATTACAAAAAGAACTGTTTTTCTTTTTGGTTATCCTAGGTAACAGAACAAGGTTTAATAGAAATCCTTGAAAAAGTAAGCCAACAAACAGAAAAGAAAACCACAGTTAAAGTAAGTTTCCCAAATATACCTGGCAGAAGAGAAATATTGGTATTTTAAATGTTGTGTTGAATATACATCTACTGTATCAAAATATTTCAGCCTGTAGACATTTCCATTTTGTAACACCTGGATGTTCGGGGGGCAGGCTGCATATATTGAGGGGTCTCATTTTTAAGGCTCTTGTCTCATTGTTCCTCCTGCCCTTATATTTAAGACACTAAGTTGTTTTAAAGACAGACAAAAATGTTTTGCTATAGTAGTTAGAGGTATTTCTTCTCAGAAAATCTGAGTTGTGCTTTATTAAATGGGTAATAACACTTGTTTAATCTCCCTCCCCCCAGTTCAACAGAAGAAAAGTAATGGACTCTGATGAAGATGACGATTATTGAATTTAAGATGCATAGACTCTGGAACTTAATGGAACAATTCCAGGACAGATAATACTTGGCAGTAAAGATCTGATTGAATGTTCGCTTTGTTTATTGTTTATATACTTTTAGAAAAGTAAACTTGTTATGTAAAATAAACAATTTGGGCAAAGTCATTTTAGTACTGTAGCTGAATCAACAGAAGATCTGCATTTTGCATTTTTTCCTTTTCTACCAAAAACTTTTAAATGTGTAGCAGCATGGCCAAGCAGAAATAGAAGCTGCTTGAGTAGGCTTCAGTAAGAACAAAATAGCATCCAGTAATGTCATAGGAGTTAAAACCTGTGGATTAAGCTAAGTCAACTTTAATATCTAATATTCCTAAGACATAGGTTCTGAAAGCAGGTGAGCTATTTTTCTCCCTGCAGATAGTACTTACATTTAATGTAAGACTATTTTTAGCTTTGGTTTCATTTATAATCTGCTTTTCAAAAGCTCGAGGTATATTAAATTATCTAATAAATGTTACTCTTATTTAAAAAACCTCATAGCTAGAGTGACAATTCCATTGAAAAAAATTCCTAAAATAGGAAATACTGGTAACAGTTCTTCAACAATAATAAACATGTCTGTAAGTAAGAGAAATAACTTCTAATGATTAAAATCTAGTTGAGATGTGGTTTAAAAACAGTTACCTTTTGCCCTAGCTGGCTTGGCTCCGTGGGTAGTGTCAGCCTGCTGACTGAAGGTTCCCAGGTTCAATTCCAGTTAATTGAATTGATCCCCAGTGAGGGTTGTACAGGAGGCACCTATCAATGATTCTCTCATCATTTATGTTTCTCTTCCCCTCTTCCTTCCTCTCTGAAATTAATAAATTAATATAAAAAGCGTCTTTATAAATATATATAAAATAAAAATAGTTACCTTTTGGTAGAAATATTCTGGGTTCTTCACTGATAAAACTGCAGGTAACTTAAAGCAAATATCATCTCTTGTATCATGCTTCCCTCCCACTAGGTTATGAAAACTGCTCATAAGTTTAAAGTGAGCTGTTTGGTGTAACCTTTTAAATATCAGTTCTGTGAGACCCAGCCCAGGAGGAAGTTATAACACTTAATGAGATGAATAGAATCAGAAGCGAAAAGTGATAGGAACTGTGGTTTACAGTCCAATCTGTTTTAGCTAGCATACTGCTGCTGTATATTTAAACTACATTTGAGAGTTTATTAGAGACTAGAGATTTGTAACTAACTGTATAGTCAATGAAGAAAGTCAATGTTGGCATGAAGTGTCTAGTATTCCTGAATGAACAAATGAATGAGTAGAACCATTAAGAACATCAAGATTTTTTTTTAAAGGAATTTTTAAAAATTTTCATTAAGGATTTTGAGAAAACCAAACAACATAAACCAATTACAGGTAAATTTTGCTTTAGTTCTCATTTACATAGAAATGCTGGAGAGAGATTTGTTACATGCTTTCTCTTGCAGAATAACCACTGTCCTAATGGCAAGTTAAGTCAATGGGTTGTTTTGTTCAAAAGGATGAAAAATGAGTCAAATTAGCAGAACAACAGTGCTCATTTCCTGTGTAGGCTAAGAAGCTATAATATATTCATTTTTGTTCTTCTGATTTTAAAAGAAAACAGTTTTGGGGCACTAGGCACTGATTCTAATATATTGCCAGCCCTAGTCCAGGTAGATGGGTAGCGATCTCTGAAAGATGCAGTCATACCTGTAACTGAAAAATAAAATGTACACCCATCCAATGGGGGAATATTTTACCACATACACAGCACATGGTTATAGCAGAGAAGCTTAGAAACATATATTCTCTATAGCAGCACATTAAAAAGTACACCATGACACGCTCAAGAATCATAACGTTTACTGTTTCTTTTCCGTTATTTGGCACATACCCAAGGCACTTTAGAAAATTGGAAGTCATAAATTATTTTGTAGAAAAATAATCAGTCCCTCCCTTTTGTACATACACAAGTATTTCTAAGAACATGCACAAAACCTTTCCCTATTACAAAGTTATTTGAAAATGTACTCAGGATAAACCCATGTTTTGGATCTAAACCAATTAATAAAAAAATAAAAGTATAATTAGTAGAAACTCATAAAAAGGAATAAATGGCAATAATTTCTAACTCAAAGTTACTTTGACCTGGTTTGTGCTGTAAGATTTGAATCTGATCAAAAGACAGAATAAATCCCCAGCCAGACTAGCTTAGTTGGTTAGTGTTGTCCCCATATGCAAAGGTTGCAGGTGTGATCCCTAGTCTGGGCACATACAAGACTCAACCAATGAATACATAAATAAATGAAACAACAAATTGATCTCTCTCACAAAAATAAAAACTAAGATGTGCCAAATATATTTTCTATTACCACCATCCTTCAAGGGTGACAATTAAAGAAAGGTTCTTAACAGAAAGGGATGTTTCTCAGGTGCACGTGTGCAGTGACCAAATAGCTGTATTTTGTAATAAGACAAAGTATACTCACCTTTTCCCAGTGTAGAATAGATTATATATGTCCTTTTTACAAAAATGAACATCAAAATGGCATTTAGGCATCTTTGAGTTCAAGTGTTGCTTTTCAAAGGAACATTTTCCAGGTCCTATTTTCTTCATTCAAATGTGACATTTCTGCCAGGCTTCCATCTATATATATAAAAGCCTAATATGCAAAGTTTCCCCTGGGGAGTTCCAGAGACCAGGAGTTTGATTGCTTGCTATGATGTGTGCTGACCACCAGGGGGCAGTGTGGAACAAAGGAAGGCCCCGGCTGGCAGCTAGCAGCCACTAGGGACCCTACCAGTGCACAAGTTTTGTGTACTGGGCCTCTAGAAGTACCATAAAACTTAAATTACTTGTCTTCAGGTCATCCCAGGTGGAAGAATTCTTTTAGCTTGTGGTTTGTTAATTTATATAGGTGACAGGTTTAGCACCTTTCAGTAGGAGGTCGGAATCTGGTGATGAAACATCTCGCTATAACCAAGGCACCCTAATACTTAAGAATAAACATCTCTAGCTGGGTAGCTCAGTTGGTTAGAGCACTGTCCAGACATGCCAAGGTGGTTAATCTCTGGCCAGGGCACATACAAGAAGCAACAAATGAATATATAAACAAGTGGAACAACAAATAGATGTTTTTCTTCCTTCATGTCTCTCAAAAGCAATAAAAAAAATTCTTTAAACAAGAAACACCCGAGCCCTCGCCAGTTTGGCTCAGTGGATAGAGCGCTGGCCTGCAGACAGAAGGGTCCTAGGTTCGATTCCAGTCAAGGGCACAGGCCTGGAATCGTTGCAGGCTCAGTCCAATGTGTAGGAGGCAATGATTCCCTTGCACCATTGATGTTTATATCTCCCTTCCTCTCTGAAATCAAAAATATATTAAAAAAAACGAAAACACCCCAGTCTTAAGGAACTGACACCCCTGGAATTTCTGTCTATTCCTTTTCAAGGGCATTCATTAGCTCTAAGAGGAAAGGGATGGTGATTTTTTTCTTTGTTGTATTCTTTGAGCCGCAGGAAAGCTTTCAGGAACTTTCTGCTTTCTCTGAAGCCAAACAGAAAGTACATTCAGTTCTGTGCTGTCTGTATTCATGCTCGGCATCTTCTCGTTAAGGATTCACTTTAGATACAAATGTAATTCCTTATTACCATCAAGACTGGGGAATACTAGCCTCGTGGGGAGGGGGTGGGTTGTCAGCAGTCTCTGGGCCTTCGGAGCAGCTGCGCCCCGGACAGTGTGTCTCCGGAGCGTTCGCCTGTTCCCAGGCGCGGCTTGTTTCAGTCCGGGCCTCAGGCTGGTCACGGTCTCCTCTGTCAGCAGTCTGCAGGGTGCTCTGGTATGATAGGTTCTGCTTCTGTGCAACTCTTTGCCTTCCTGGCTAAAGAGAAGGTACAATTTGGAAGTTCACATGTGTGCAGTACTTTAAACCACCACCGTGACAATAACACCTACCTTTGAGAGCTTGTATGTGCTCAGTACTTTCCAGACATAATTATTTTAAATCCTCACCTGAAGATACTTTTTCCATTGCTATTTAAAAAAAGTTATTTTATTTTAAAATATATATTTTTGATTTTTTTACAGAGAGGAAGGGATAGGGATAGAGAGAACATCAATGAGAGAGAAGCATCGGTCAGCTACTGCTTGCATGCCTCCTACTGGGGATGTGCCCACAACCAAGGTATGACCTTGACCAGAATGGAACCTGGGACCTTTCAGTTTGCAGGCCAATGCTCTATCCCCTGAACCAATCCAGTTAGGGCTCCATTGTTATTTAAAAAAATTTTTTTTATTGATTTTAGAGAGGAGGAAGGGAGACAGAAACATCAATGATGAGGGATAAAGCATTTATGTAGTATCTAACACATGGAACATGTACATACAGAATTGTCTAAATGAGCAACTTTATACCATATTGAGAGAAGTTTTTTACTCATTTATATGCAAACTTAGTTTCTTCTTTACGTTAATGATTAACATATTAGCAAATTTGTTTAGTGAAAGTTGAGAGATTTTACCAAGTATGCACCCCATGAACTGCAATGTCTTTCCATGAATATAACCATTTTCCACTTTTTCTTCACTTTCCTTTCTTAGTTCAGAAATGCATTATTAAATACAACAATAAATGACATCTATACTCTTGACCTTGCCACTAAAGAGCTCATTTTGTTATTAACTCTTATAGTGAGGGGAATAATGAAATGAGAAATGTGTTTACCATGAATTAGTTTTTAAAAATCCAAACTTTAAAAAATATTATTATAATCCAATGTTTAATAACTCACCTCACGTAAAGACTCTTCAGGGATATTAGTGACACTTTTATCTCTTGCCATAATCTCTCTTGAAGTCCTTCCCCTGAAATCCAAAACAAATTTAATGTTTGAGATAGTGGTGCAAAAACACTGGTTGGCCATAAGATGGCAGCATTTGATGAGAGCTTATTTGTCTATAACCTATTCAAGCTGCACATAATGCTTAAGTTTTCAGTAAAGGTAGGGTCAAAAACAGACTTCAACTCAAATTTTATACTCACTTAAACTGACCAACTGAGGGGACAAAGTAAAACTGTCTTGTAAAAGGTTCATCTTGTAGATTATACATTTTTGAGTTCCCTGCAGATAAAAGGATAAACATTTGAAAACTTCCAAATAATTTAAGAATTTTTTTAAAATTATGGCATAGATATCACCTTTCAATTTTCTTACTTTAACAACATTTTGAAAATTAAGCAATGCATGTGCTTAAAGAAACATTACTCTGTGAACCCCCATGAAACAAAGATAAATCCTTAATACACTAATACTCCCTCGCCACAGCCCTGAGATAGCTTTGGGATTATTCAGATATGTATGTGAGTTTATTCAATTATTGCACTGCAAACTCATATTGTAATTAAAACAAAACGTCTAAACTATCACAAGTTACAAAAAAAAGGGGGGGGGGGAATACTTCAGCCTTATCTGTTAGGCAAATGCTGTTCTAATTACCATCAACCAAAAAAATTATTTAAAGGTAGCATCTACCCTGATGTTCAGGAAATGCCTAGAAAAAGGACTGGCTTTGGAACATGAGACATGAAAGAAACTACCAGAGGTTGCTCCGTTGGTGAGTGGAGGCCTGACCTTCAACGTAATGCTAAGATTCATCATCACAACCAACCAGAACACTAATACAAAAATATCTGATAAATTAGGGTATAACATACATTTCTTCGGTGCCTAATCTCCCCTCAGTCAGGATTATAATTACATTGTACATTTACAATGAAATGAAAACCAGCAACTACTCATGAACTTCCAATAAACCCAAGTTGAGAATTATAGAAAAAAGTTCTTACATTTTTTCCTGATCTTAACGGTAACGTACTCCTTGTGGTCCGTTTCGCCAACTTCATCTAACGTGGCCACACAGCTTGGTACTACCTGAAGTAATTCCATTATTTTTGAATTCTATAATTTGAAAGGGAAAAGGTAACATTAATATTTTTTATTATTTTCAACAGTTAGTTGCCTATTTTTTATATAAATGTCAGTATTAGGATAGCTGGATAGCAGAGCTAAGAAAAAGCAACTACAGATGAAACTTTGAGGCCATAGTGTAAAGCAGCCCTGCACTCGAAGCCAGGCTCCGCCCTCTGCTAGGCACTCAGGATGAGCACTTGCCTGCTCTGTGCAACTAGGCTGACAACAATGGGATCGATAATTTTAGTTATCAAAAGGCTATCCAAGGCCCAACACATAGTAAGTCCTCAATAAAAACATTCATCATAATGTTTGAGAAAGTCCTCAACTAAAAATTTAAAATATGTTGCCGAAACCGGTATGGCTCAGTGGATAGAGTGTCAGCCTGAGGACTGAAAGGTCCCAGGTTCGATTACGGTCAAGGGCATGTACCTTGGTTTTGGGCACATCCCCGGTAGAAGGTATGCAGGAGGCAGCTGATCAATGACTCTCTCATTGATGTTTCTAACTATCCCTCTCTCGTCTTCTCTGTAAAAAATCAATAAAATATATATTTTAAAAAAATTTGCCGAAACCGGTTTGGCTCAGTGGATAGAGCGTCGGCTTGGGGACTGAAGGGTCCCGGGTTTGATTCCGGTCAAGGGCATGTACCTTGTTTGCGGGCACATCCCCAGTAGGGGGTATGCAAGAGGCAGCTGATCGATGACTCTCTCTCATCGATCTTTCTAACTTGCTATCTCTCTCCCTTTCTCTCTGTACAAAATCAATAAAATAAATTTAAAAAAAAACACAAAAATAAACAACAACAAAAAACTTAAAAAAAATTTAATACTGTTAAGAAATGTCTGAAACTTAAAATTCATTGAATAAGCCTAAGAGTATGTTGGCTTTCTGTGACTTTAACATGTCAGTAGTATCATTTAACAGCCTACTAGTTGTCTACCCAAGTGGGCGACTAGATAAAGATTCAACATGAAAACAGGAACAGTAAAGAGCTACCTTCTCCCAACTCTCCATGGTAAACATGGCGGCACTGGGAGTGGTCCCGGGCCATCACAATTGTCCTGCAGAATTCAAGGACTTTTAAAGCCACCAACTGAACAAACTTCCTCCATCGTGCTGCTAAGACCACAGGTGTATTTCCAATGCAGGGGGCGGGGGGGACCAGAATGCTGTCTAAACCTGCCACTTCTCTGGGAGGACCCGGCTGCCCGTCAGGGGGCAGACTAGGGCCCAGACTGTGGCTGGGGAGAGGAGCACCTCTCCTCAGGCCTTGGAAAACTACCCCTGAAGGACTGGCTCCTGGATCCCGAGCAGCCTACTGTCCAGGTGGCAGGTTAGCCATATTGGCAGACTTCTAGCGATTCACAGGTCTGCTATTTCAGATCTGGTTTACACACAAGGCTTATCCAAAGTGAGCGGGGAGGGAGGTGGGTGCCGCCCCCTCACCTGCTCAGCATAGTCCATCGCGGTGCACTGCCTCTTGTTCAAGAGCTGGACCGACGCTCCGTGCAGCAGCAGCAGCTCCACGACCAAGACGTGCTTCTCCATCACAGCCTCGTGCAGGGCTGTGTTGCCCTTGTTGTTAGAGGCATTGATGGAGGCCCCGTGCTGGAAAGAAGCAGCACAATCAAAAGGAATGTCGAAGACGATATTGAGGCAGAACCTAGATGGGTGTTTACTATAAGATTCTTTCAACTTTTCTGTATATCTGACATTTCTCTTAAAGTGTTGGGGTTAAAGTAATACTGAGAAAAAACATTTATGTGCACAGATAGTCACTGCAGCATTTATCATTATGGCAGAAAAAATAGAAGTCACCTAAATGTATAAAGCAGGAACAGTTAAATAAACACTATGGTACATCTGTAGATACACAACCATTAAAATTTGAGATTTTAATAACAATTTTCTACCATAAGCAAAATAAGATAGAAAACAAGACTGTTCTAAATTATGCACATTTTCTTTCTTTTTAAAAAAATCCTCAACCAAGTTATATATATATATATATATATATATATATATATATATATAATTATTTTTTAAAAAAATATATTTTATTGATTTTGTACAGAGAGGAAGGGAGAGAGATAGAGAGCTAGAAACATCGATGAGAGTCATCGATCAGCCACCTCTTGCACACCTTCCACTGGGGATGTGCCCGCAACCAAGGTACATGCCCTTGACCGGAATCGAACCCGGGACCTTTCAGTCCACAAGCCGACGCTCTGTCCACTGAGCCAAACCGGTTTCGGGTCAACCAAGTATATTTTTCCATTGCTTTTAGATAGAATGGAAGGGAGATGGGGAGAGGGAGAGGGAGAGAAAAACTGATGTGAGAGACCCAAGACACACTGATTGGTTGCCTCCTGCACTCGGCTTGGGGATGGAGCCTACAACTGAGGTACGTGCCCTTGACCAGAAAAAAAAAAAGACAAAGGACATTCAGCTCACACTAAAGGTATCAGTTCAACTTAACCCAATACAATTCAATCTACCCTACAGGTAAAGAAGGCAAGATCCAAACCTTCAGCAAAAGCAGTGTCTGTGCCCTTAACTCGGCATCCTGGCAGACACGGAGAACCACTGGATGGAAATTCCATGCAAAGCTTCTCTCTCCAGGGGCAGCTTAAAGCAAAGGGCAAGCCCTGCCCATCTGCAGTGCACTGCCAGGGTCTCACCAAGTGACGAGATGCCATCACTGACCCTGGGCTGTGGGGCCCTTACCTGTAGCAACAGCGCTGCAACTTCATGGTGTCCGCTGGCACAGGCGTAAATGAGGGGTGTGCTTCCACTTACATCCTTTTTATTGGGTTTTGCATTGGAGTCCAATAGATACTTCACCACCTAGTCCAGAGAAGGACAATTTTTAATTAAAACTGTCTGGGAGAAATCCTTGATATTCTTTTGACTCTTCTCTAAGTTTATCAAGCAGGCTCTTTAGATCCAGGAGAAAGCAGACCAGCTGGAAGCGGGGTTAACATCTGTTGAGGGTTGACTGTGTGCCAGGCACTTGTCTCTTCATTTAATCATCTGATCTACTCCACAGAGAGCTGGAATTCTCACTCCAGCTTTACAGGTGCGGAAGCTGATGCTTGAAGCAGGCATTAGTAGAGGTGGGAGAACCACTGAAATATGATTCCTGGCTTTAAAATGCTTACATTAGAATAAGGGAAAATGAAAAAATACAATTTTCAAAACAAAAAATGGGACTTCAAAAAGCAATCATTCCTTAGTTATCTCTTGGCCTCCTATAGAGGGCTGCACTCTACTTTTTATTATTATTATTATTTAAAATTTTTATTTATTCATTTATTGATTTCAGAGAGAAAAGAAAGGAGAGGGAGAGAGAGAGAGAAACATCAACAAGAGCCCTAACCGGTTTGGCTCAGTGGATAGAGCATCAGCCTGCAGACTGAAGGATCCCAGGTTCGATTCCGGTCAAGGGCATATTCCTTGGTTGTGGGCACATCCCCAGTAGGGGGCGTGCAAGAGGCAGCTGATCGATACTCTCAACGATGTTTCTAACTTTCCCTTCCTCTCTGTAAAAAATCAATAAAATATATAAATTTAAAAAAAAGAAAAAAACATCGATCAGCTGCCTCCTGCACACCCCCAAGGTACATGCCCTTGACTGGAATTGAACCCGGGACCCTTCAGTCTGCAGACTGATGCTCTATCCACTGAGCTAAACCGGTTTCAGCCAGAGGGTGTTTTTAAAAATATTTTTTTATTCTTTTTTTACAGAGAGAAAGGAAGAAGGATACAGTTAGAAACATTGATGAGAGAGAAACATCAATCGGCTGCCTCCGGCACATTTCCCACTGAATATGTGCCCTCAACCGAGGTACATGTCCTTGACCAGAATCTAACCTGGGACCCTTGAGTCTGCAGGTCAATGCTCTATCCACTGAGCCAAACTGGTTGAGCCAGAGGGTATTTTTTCCACTGATTTTTAGAGACACTGAAAGGGAGGAAGGGAAAGACAAAGGATGGAGAGAGAGCGCGAGCAGGTGAAAGAAACATCTATGTGAGAGAGAACCATCGATTGGTTGCCTCCTGCATGCCCCCTGACAGGGCCAGGGAGTGAACCCACAACCCAGGTAAGAGCCCTTGACTGGGAATCAAACCCTCATCCTTTGGTCAGATGCTCTAACCACTGAGAGCACTGGCGAGGGCTGTTCTTTATAAAGTGCTGAACTGTTTGGCACTGACCAAGCACTGTGGGATGTCAAGGCGCTAACATACTGCTGGAGCCTGGGAGGACCAACACCGAAGCACCAGAGAGCTCGGGTCAGGCTGGGTCAGGCCAGCATGCTGTGAGGGCAGGGAAGGGGGTGGCTCCACCCCAGGGGCATCAGATTCTGTGTTCTGTTGCTGAGTGGTCCAACCAGGTGCTCCCCAGAATCTCAGGCTGGGAGGAAGGAAGGGTGCTGGTCCTCTGAGCCACATGTCAACGCCTGACCCAAGGCAGCATTCCCAAGTGAGGTTCTAAGCCAGGGGTGGGGACGTCTGGCCTGCGGGCTGTGGTAGGCTGTAGAATCATTTGGTCAGGCCTTGGAAGGCTTCAAAGCTGTTAGTTACCTGTTTGGCCAAATAGAGCGGCTAATTTTTAAGTTGACAATTCTGAATGGCCCGTGAATGATGTTATAAATATCCAAATTGTCTTTGGCAGAAAAAAGGTTCCCACCCCTGTGCTAAGCACAAGCAAACACCCGAACACTCTGCCCGGGACACCCTGTACCTGAAAGTGGCCTTGCTGGCAGGCCAAGTGAAGTGGGACAGCTTGGTTGGCGTTCCTGGCACCCACATTGGCACCATGCTTCAGAAGGAGGGGGATGAGGTCCGCCCGGCCATGCAGGGCAGCAATGTGCAATGGGGAGGAGCCGTCCTGGTGGGTCACATTCACACCCAGCCCACTGGCGGGAATCTTTGCCAGCTTCTATAGGTTCAGAAGACAGAAACAGAATGTCATTAGTATTTAAAAAACCAAAGTCATCTGCCCCTCACAGCTCCTCAGCAAACTCAAGGATGCACACAGTGGCATCCAGAACCAGGTTACCCTCAGGTGAATCCCCACTACTTCACTAATTTATTTTATTTTTGTTAATCCTCATGTGAGGATATTTTCCCATTGATTTTTAGAGTGGAAGGGAGGGGGAGAGACACACAGAGAGAAACATCGATGTGAGTGAGACACATTGATTGATTGCCTCCCACACGTGCCCCAGATCAAGCCTACAACCGAGGTACGTGCCTTGACCAGAAACAATCCTGAGACCCTTCAGTCATGGGGTGACATTCTAACCACTGAGCAACCGGCGAGGGCCATCTCAACTACTTAAAAAAGATATGAAGTTCAAAGGATTAACTTCTATTTTTCAAGAAAGCAACCCCCAAAGTAATTCAGTATTATGCCGAGGGAATAAAAAGTCTATTCAACAGATGACGCTGGAACAACTGGGTATCCATATATCGAAAAACTGTCAATCCTTATCTTACACGAAACACAAAAATTAAAATGTATCTCAGATCTAGATGTAAACACTACAGTTGTAAAATTTGAAGAGAAACAGAAGAAAATCTTTCCAACATTGGGATAAGCAATTATTTCTTAGAAAAGACAAAAAGCAAAAACATAAAAGAAAACCTTGGTAGACTAGGTTTAGAAATTGTAAATCTATGCTCTCTGAAAGGGACAATTAAGAAAATGAACCTTCCCCCTTTCCCGGGGAGAAACATGGCCACGAGCAGTGAGGGAGTGCCAGACTGGGCAAGGCACAGTGAATAGGTCGACACCTTGAACTTATTCACACGCCCGCAGTGCTGTTATGGAGATGGGAGTATGTCCTCAGACCTCATGGCATCACTGAGGACAGAACTGAGCGGCTAAGGATATTATAAAAAAGACAGGATACTGTGATATTTTGGTCCTGTGTGTGCTTAAAAAGGTTACAGGTTCTGTGCTGATCTTGTAGAACACCTTAAGAACATGAGCCGAAATTCAGATAGATTTGTCCCTATGAAGGATGATTTCATCAGATTAAAAAGTTACATGCATTACATTCATATGGATAAAGAGACCAAACAGAGAGAATCTGATTGTGGCAATTTTATGGAACAGACAACTTGAAATACAATTTAAAAGCCTCTTAAATGTTTCCTGAACCTCAAAGGGAGATATACTACCCTGTTTCCCTGAAACTAAGACAGTGTCTTATATTAATTTTTTCTCCCAAAGTTGCTCTAGGTCTTATTTTCAGGGGATGTCTTATCTTTCCATGTGCTAGGTCTTATTTTCAGAGGATGTCTTATTTTCGGGGAAACACGATTGTAGAAACTGAGACCTAAGATGTTAAGTAACATGTCCAAAGTAAAAAAGTTTGTAAATGGAAGATCTAATATTCAAACCCATGTTCAACTCCAGAGTCCAAGACTAAAACTAATTCTCTCTAGAGATGGGTTGAGACGAATTATGCTAAAGAGAGGAAAATTTCACAAAGAAATCAGCATCATTTTTTCCTGAGCTTAATTTTCATATTTACTGAACTTGGCTAAATTAGCTCCCACCATTTCTGGGAGAATGGAATATTTGTAAATAGTTAACTGCTCATTATGTGAAATGTCTTATACATTATATTAATAAACTATGAAGAATTACGTTCCAATAAAATATTGACAAAAAAGAAAATCAAAAGGCGGGAGAATTTGAAATCTTACTCCCCAGCTTATATTGTCAGTTTGGCTCAAATAAACTCTAATAAAAATTCTCAAAATAGCTGAAACCGGTTTGGCTCAGTGGAAGAGCGTTGGTCTGGGGACTGAGAGGTCCCAGGTTCGATTCCGGTCAAGGACATGTACCTTGGTTGCGGGCACATCCCCGGTAGGGGGTGTGCAAGAGGCAGCTGATCGATGTTTCTCTCTCATCGATGTTTCTAGTTCTCTATCCCTCTCCCTTCCTCTCTGTAAAAAAAAACACAATAAAATATATTTTTTAAAAAAGAAAAGAAAAAAAAAACAGAACCCAAACTCTACAACTCAATAATATAATCTAATTATTATTTTTTTAAAAAAAAATTTTTTATTGACTTCAGAGAGGAAGGGAGAGAGAGAAAAAATAAAACAAAATAACGATGATCCCTAACAGTTTGGCTCAGTGGATAGAGCGTCAGCCTGCAGATTGATTCTTGTCAAGGGCATGTACCTTGGTTGCAAGCACATCCCCAGTAGGGGCCGTGCAAGAGGCAGCCGATTGATGCTTCTCTCGCTCTCCCTCTCCATTCCTCTTCCTAAAACATCAATAAAAACATACTAAATTTATACAGGTGATTAAATAAACAAATTATAGTATACTCAACAAAATGCTACCCAGAAATAAAAATAAATGGGCTAGTAATGCAAAAATAATCTGCTGAGCAAAGAAAGCAGACTCAAAAGGGTGTGAACTGTGTGGTCCCACTCATGTATAATTCTAGAAAACGCTGCTGAGTCTGTGAAGACAGAAAGCAGATCAATGATACATCTGACAAATTGTCCGTGCTGAGGACAGGGCGGAAGGGAGGAAGGGCAGAGCTGCACGTGGATGAGGAACTCTGGTGGTGATGTGAATGCTCTGTATCTTGATTGTGGTGATGGCTTCATGGGTGCACATAGAAACTTACCAAATTGTATTCTTTTTAAAAATATATATTTTATTGATTAAAAAAATATATATATATTTATTTTTTAAAATAAATATTTTATTGATTTTTTACAGAGAGGAAGAGAAAGGGATAGAGAGTTAGAAACATCGATGAGAGAATCACTGATCAGCTGCCTCTTGCACACCCCCTACTGGGGATGTGTCTGCAACCAAGGTACATGCCCTTGACCGGAACTGAACCCGGGACCTTTCAGTCCGCAGGCTGATGCTCTATCCACTGAGCCAAACCGGTTTCGGCTATTTTATTGATTTTTTACAGAGAGGAAGGCAGAGAGATAAGAGAGCTAGATACATCAATGAGAGAGAAACATCGATCAGCTGCCTCCTGCACACCACCTACTGGGGATGTGCCTGCAACCAATGTACATGCCCTTGACCGGAATCGAACCTGGGACCTCTCAGTCCGCAGGCCGACGCTCTATCTACTGAGCCAAACCGGTTTCGGCCAAATTGTATTCTTCACATGGCTATCCAGGAAGTCCTTACTTAACATTATTGGTAGGTTCTGTGATGTTAAGCAAAACGATGTATAACAAAACCAGTTTTACTACTGGCTAATTGGTATAAGGAGTTAAATTCCAATAACGTCTCATCAGCATTATATTGAAACTAGAGACCTAATATACAAAAATTTGTGCAGAGTAGGCCTTTCTTCCCCCAGCTGCCAGCACCAGCTTCCGTCCTCCGGCCGCCGGCCACCGGCAGGCACCTGGGACCGGGCCTGGCTTCCCCCAGGCTGGCTTCCCTCTGGCCCCAGCTTCGTCAGGAAAGAGGTTCGGTCTGATTAGCATTTCACTGTTATAGATATGATTTGAGGACTTGTGCTTTATTGTATGTAAGTTATACTTCAATAAAGAGTTTTTAAACACTTTATATGCACCAGTGGGATAGAAGAGAATGGGGCTGGGGAGAAGTTTTAATTTATTACAGACATGAAGCAATTTAGTTTTGTGCCTTTTTGAGAACTTCCAAAAAGAGAAAAAGATAAGAGTTTTAAAAAATATATATTTTCATTAATTTCAGAGAGGAAGGAAGAGGGAGAGAGATAGAAACATCAATGATGAGAGAGAATCAATGTATGGCTGCCTCCTGCACACTCCTCACTGGGGATCGAGCCCCAACCTGGGCATGTGCCCTTCATGGGAATCAAACCTGGGACCCTTTAGTCTGCAGATTGACACTCTAGTTACTGAGCCAATTGGCTAGGACCAGATAAGAGTTTTTAAAAGAGCAGGGAACATAAGGCTTTTTTTGGGTCTGTTGGTTTTTTTAATTGATTTTAGAGAGAGAAAAAAAAGAGAGAGAGAGAAACATCAATCAGTTGCTTCCCATAGCATCCAGACGGGATCAAACCTGTAACCTGGGCATGTACCCTGACCGGTGATTGAACCCAAGCCCCTTTGGTACATGGGGTGATGCTCCAACCTACTGACCCACACTGGCCAGGACAACATAAGGCTTTACTCCAATAAATTCAACAGATATTGTCATGTGTTTTAAGCATCTTGTTACAGCTAATGAACTAAGGTGAAGAACAGAGTATAGAAAAATAGGAAAAGAAGGGAGATGGAATAACTGCTTCTAGTTGCAAAGACTCACTGAGGTTTTGTTACTTCATTCTTTTGAAACATCAGTTGCCTTCTTTCTTTCTTTTTTTTTTAATAAACGTTTATTGATTTCAGAGAGGAAGAGAGTGGGAGAGAGATATAGAAACATCAATGATGAAAGAGAATCATCCATTGGCTGCCTCTTGCACATCCCCCTTCTGGGCACTGAGCTCGCAACCTGGGCATGTGTCCTTGACTGGAGTCGAACCAGGGACTCCTCAGTCCACAGACCAATGCTCTGTCCACTGAGCCTAGCTAGCTAAGGGAATCCCTATGTTTTTCATAGCCACCCATCTAGAGGAAAAAGTTTTTGGACTGTACACATCCGGCACCATGGGAACAAAACAAAAGCTGCACAGTCTAATGTATATATTACCCTGCCGCTGAAAAGCTACACGTGAGTGAAAAATATAGTCATTTCAGTACTCTCAGGTTGGAGAAACCCATGGTAAAGCTTTTCAAATAAGGTAGTATAATCTTACAATATGAAGCATAACACCACTATATCCATTTGTAAAGTCAAATTAATTTTCTTAGTATGGAACACACATTGAGTTAAGAGCTAGCACATGAGTGCATACTATGAACATGATGCTATTTAGAATTACACAGAAGAAAATGAAATACTTAGGTATACATTACAAAATGGACAAAAGTCTGTTATGCTGAAAATCACAAAATGTTGATGAAGAAATCAAAGAAGGCCTAAATATATTAGAGATATACCATATTCATGAAGACTCAACATAGTAAAGGTGTTATTTCTCTTCAAATTGATCTACAGTTTTAATGCAATTCCTATCAAAATTCTAGCAAGGTTTTTTTGTAGAGGTAGTCAAGCTTATAACTTACAGGAAAAGGCACAGGCTCTAGAATAGCTAAAACAATCCTGGCAAAGAAGAGTAAATTAGGGAGAATTCACTCTACCCAATATTAAGTCTTACTATTCAGCTGCAATAATCAAAATAATGTGGCACTGTGTGGCCTGCAAGGGAGGGCAGTTGAGAGAGACCAGGCCTGCAATGAGGGCAGTTGGGGGCGATCAACCCTGTAGGGTAGGGCACTTAGGGGTGACCAGAACAAAAGCTGGAAGGAAGGAAGGAAGTTGGGGGCAAACAGGCTGACAGGGGAGCAGTTAAACATCAATTAGACTGCATGGGAGTGGTTAGGGGTGATCAGGCTGGCAGACAGAAGCAGTTAGGGGCAATCAGGAAGGCAGGCGAGCGAGCAGTTGGGAGCCAGCAGTCCTGGATTGTGAGAGGGATATCTGACTGCCCGTATAAGGCCCGATCCCATTGGGCAGTCGTACATCCCTTGAGGGGTCCCAGATTGGATAGGGTGAAGGCTGGATTGAGGGACACCCCCTGACCCTCGGGCATGAATTTCGTGCTCCAGGCCTCTAGTACTAGTATAAAGAACTCTGAAAACTCAACAGTAAAAACACCCACACACACACACACCCCAGGCCCAGAAGCTCCAGAGTGTCGTCCTGATATGCCTGGTCAGAGCACATTCAAGAATCAACCAATAAGCCCTAGCTGTGGAGTGTGGGCCTGTGGACTGAAGGGTCCTGGGTTTGATTCCAGTCAAGGGCACATGCCTGAATTGCGGGCTTGATCCCCAGTAGGGGCGTGCAGGAGACAGCCCATCAATGATTCTCTCATCATTGATGTTTCTATCTCTCTCTCCCTCTTCCTTCCTCTCTGAAATCAATAAAAATATATTTTAAAAAATCAACCAAATGAATACATAAATAGGTGGAACAACACATTGATGTCTCTCTCTCCCCAATCAATAATTTTTTTTTTAAGAAAGAAAAGAGTAACAAAGTGGGTAAAGGAAATGAACAGACATTTCAATGAAGAATATATACAGATGGCAAATAAGCACAGGAAAAGAGGTTCAATATCATCACCCAGTAGGGAAAGCAAACTGCAACCCAATGAGACAGTGTTACACTTATTCGAATGGCTAAAATAACAAATAGTGACAACACCATGCTGGTGAGGATGCAAAAAACTGAATGGCTCAGAGATTGCTGGTGGGAATGTAAAATGTACAACCAGTCTGGGAAAGTCTGTCAGTTCCATACGAAACTAACCACAGAATTAACATGTAATTATCACTTGAGTCAGCAATCACACTTTTGGGCATTCACCTTAAAGAAAACTATGTTATGTTCTTACAAAAAATTTGTACAAAATGTTCATAGCAGTTTTATTTGTAATTTCCCATCTAGAAACAAGCAACATGTCTCAACAGGAGAGTGGTTACACCAACCGGCACATACAGCCATGAAATACTGCTCAACAATAAAGAAGTAAACTGTTAACTACATGCAACAACTTGGAATCATGCCAGACGACAAAGCCAATCCTCAAAGGCTAGTGCTGTATGATTATATATACGACATTTTTGAAGTGGACAACAGATTAGTGGGTGGTGGGGTGAGGGTGACAGGGAGAGGTGGGTGTGGTCGTAAAAGGGCAACGTGAGTGATTCTTCTCTGGTGAGTGAACTATTCTGTACCTTGAATATGGTGGTGGGTACACAAAGCCACATATGTGATAAAACTAGAACTAAACCCACACACACACGAGCACAGGTAAAATGGGATATCTCAGTAAGGTGAATGGACTGTATGTGTCTATGGTTTTGCAAGCTGTTACCATTAGGGGAAGTGTCTGCCACAGAGGAAGTACCAACGTGAGCAATGGTAGTGGCAACGGACCTCGAGTGCAGCCTCCCCAGGGGATGTGGCCACGTGGACGGAGACCCTCAGGCGTGTCTATGTTTTTTTTTTTTAATATATATATATATATATATATATAATTGATTCTTTACAGAGAGGAAGGGAGAGGGATAGAGAGTTAGAAACATCGATGAGAGAGAATCATCCATCAGCTGCCTCCTGCACACTCCCTACTGGGGATGTGCCTGCCACCAAGGTACATGCCCTTGACCGGAATCGAACGCGGGACCCTTCAGTCCGCAGGCAGACGCTCCATCCACTGAGCCAAACCGGTTTCGGTGAGGTGTGTTTATTTGTAAACTCCTGCCTGTGACTCAGGGGCCCAGAGAGCCATGTGGATGTCCCTGTTTACTGACCAGCCTGTTCAGGAAGCAGGCAGCCCAAGCCAGATCCTGTACGGGCACCAGCTTCTCTCCGCCCTGAGCTAACTAACCCACCACATCTCAGGGATACCCACTACCAGCCACTCAGAAATCAGCTGGTTGAGAAGCAGACACCGTTCTCAAGGGGACAAAGAAGAATGTTCCCTCCTATCACCACCCTCATCAACAGAAGCAATGCCAAACCTTTTGAGCTGGAGCACATTTTGGGCATTGGCACAAGGGGTGACAAAATTCAAGATCTGCAGCACTGACAGCATCCTCCGCATCCTCCAGGTCCTCCTCTGTCCACTCCAAAAGGTAACGTACCTGAGGATGTACAGTAAAAGAGAAATAGGAACTTAAAACTCACCCTTAACTCTTTTATAAGATACAGTACCTTAACTCTCTAACTGTTCCAAACCAGGGCCACAGTCACTAAAAAAATGTTAGCTGCTGCACACAAAGATTCCAGGGGTCACATGTGCTCAAGCCTTTTTAAACCCTTTCATAGTGATAGAGAGATTAAGCTACTGTTTCTGTAGCTTGTGTTAGAAATTCATCCTTTCTTCCTTCCTTCCTTTTTTCCTTCCTCCCTCCCTCCCTCCCTCCCTCCCTCCCTCCTTCCCTCCCTCCCTCCCTCCCTTCCTTCCTTCCTTTCCTCTCTCTCTTTTAAAAAAATATCTTTATTGTCAAGAGTATTACAGATATTCTCTTTTCCCTACCATTGCCCCTTCACCTGGTTCCCACCCTGCCCCAGGCCTTTGCCACCTTATTGTCTGTGTCCATAGATAATGCATATCTATATAACAAAAGCCTAAACGACCGTTACAGTGGAATGACCAGGATGACTGGTTGCTATGATGCACACTGACCACCAGGGGGCAGACGCTCAACACAGGTGCTGTCCCCTGGTGGTCAGTGCGCTCTCACAGGGGGAGTGCCGCTCAGCCAGAAGCTGGGCTCACGGCTAGTGAGAGCAGCTGTGGTGACTGGAGCCTCTCCTGCCTCTACAGCAGTGCTAAGGAGCAGCAAGCTGAGTGCTAAGGAGCAGCAAGCAGGCAGGCTTCAGGAGCAAGGTGTTCCGGACCGTGAGAAGGATGTCCGCCTGTTGGCTTAGGCCTGATCCCCAGGGGCTCCTGGGGTGTGAAAGGCACCAACCAGGCTGAGGGACCAACCCCAATGCACAAATTTCATACACCAGGCCTCTAGCCTATATATATAAAAGCCTAAGCGACTGTTACGACTGGATGGTAGCTATGATGCACAATCACCAAGGGGCAGATGCTCAACACAGGAGCTTTCCCCTGGTGGTCAGTGTGCTCCCACAGCCAACCTCCCGTGGCTGGCCAACCTCCCCCAGTCCCTCCCTTTGGCCAGCTGGCCCAGAATGGTCCCAATCGGAACTGGACAAGATGGCCCCGATCGCCTGCCAGGACAAGAGACCCCATCTGTGCACAAATTCATGCACTGGGCCTCTAGGATGTATACAAGATCTTTATTGAATCTCTTCCTGCCTCCCCACCCCCTTCCCTCTGAGAACTATCAGTCCATTTTCATGCTTTTAATTCTATTGTATTTGCAAGTTTATCTTATCATTAGATCTTTTTTTTAACTTTTTAATTTAATTTAATTTAATTTAATTTAATTTAATTTAATTGATTTTCCACAGAGAGAAAGGGAGAAGGATAGAGAGCCAGAAATGTCGATGAGAAACATTGACCAGCTGCCTCTTGCACACCCCCTACTGGGGATGTGCTTGCAACCAATGTACATGCCCTTAACTGGAATCGAACCCAGGACCCTTCAGTCCGCAGACCGACGCTCTATCCACTGAGCCAAACCAGTTTCGGCTCATTAGATTTCTTATTCTTTATTTTGATTTTTAGATTCAATTGTTGATATGTATTTACTGGCATTTTATTGTTCATAATTTTTATCTTTTTCTTCTTTCTCTTCTTAAAGAATACGCTTCAACATTTCAGGTAATACTAGTTTGGTGGTGATGAACTACTTTAGTTTTTCCTTGTCTGTGAAGCTCTTTATTTGATGATACATTTGCAGGGTAAAGTAATCTTGGTTGTAGGTCCTTGCTATTTATCACTTTGAATATTTCTTACCACTTCCTCCTGGCCTGCATAGTTCCTGCTGAGAAATAAGCTGATAGTTATATGGATGTTCCCTTGTAGGAAACTGCTTTTCAGAGTATCTATCTTTAACCCTTGGCATTTTAATTATGTGTTTTGGTGTGGTCCTCTTTGGGTTCCTCTTGTTTGGGGCTCTCTGTGATTCCTGGACTTGTAAGTCTATTTCTTTCACCAGGTAGGGGAAGTTTTCTGTCATTATTTCTTCAAATACATTTTCAATATTTTGCTCTCTCTTTTTGCCTTCTGGCACCCCCATAATGTGAATGTTGGTACACTAGAAGTTGTCCCAGAGGTTCCTTAAACTATCTTCATATTTTTGGATTCCTTTTTCTTTTTGTTCTTCTGATTGGGTGTTTTTTGCTTCCTCACATTCCAAATTGTTGATTTGATTCTCGGAATCCTCTATTTTCCTGTCGAATCCCTGTAAATTAGTCTTTATTTCAGTAGTCTATGCTTAATTTCTGACTGGTTCTTTTTCATGTCTTTGGTATTCTCACTAAAATCCTTGAAAGTCTAAGTCTCTTGAAGGTATCATAAAAATATGTTGAACTCGTATCCAGTAGTTGACTCTCTCCCATTTCTTTTATTTGTGACATGTTTCTTTGTCACCACATTTTGGCTGCTCACCTGTGTTTGTTTCTATGTATTAAGTAGAGCTAGCATGTCTCCTGGAGTTGGTAAACTAGCCTTATATATAATAGTAGGAGGGCCCAGTGGCTCAGCCTCCCCAGCCACCCAAGTTGGGCACTATAAGTGCTTCCCTATTAAAAAAAAAAATAATTAAAAAAAAAAATATATATATATATATTTTCCCTATTGATTTTTTTTTTTTTTTTTTTTTTTTTTTTTTTTTACATAGAGGAAGGGAGAGAAATAGAGTTAGAAAGATTGACGAGAGAGAAACATTGATTGGCTGCCTCCTACACCCTCCCCACACTGGGGATGTGCCCACAACCAAGGTACATGCCCTTGACCAGAATCAAACCTGGGACTCTTCAGTCCGCAGGCTAGCACTCTATCCAATGAGCCAAACCAGCTAGGACTAAGTGCTTCCCTTTGTGGGCTATTTGCATGGTCTTATTATATTTGAGCCTTGATTGCTATTGGTGACACTGGGAGGAATAGACCTCCAGGCAAATTACGGTAGCTGTGAGGACCAGCTGCAACTATAGTGGGAAAGCTTCTGTGCAGGAAACACCCCTATGAAGCAGGACTTGCTTCAGTAGGGCTATGGAGCTCACTGAGTCTAACCCTTGAGTGTGCTGCCTGTAGATATGTAGAGTGCAATGTGGTATGGTTTGAAGCTGTCCACTGGATAAACTGGCCCTTGGGTCTCTTGGGAGATGCAAAGTTAGCCACTACCTGGGGCCACTTGGCACTTGGCAGGAGCTAGAGATATCTGCAGATTCTTTCTTTCTTTCTGTCTTTCTTTTCTTTTTTTTTTTTTTTTTTGTCATTCACTCTTTTATCACATACAGTGCAGGTTCTCTGCAGATTCTTTCTATTTATTTTGGGTTTGGAAGTGCCCAGATGAGGTCCAGCTTTGAATTAAGGTAAGCTGGTGCTGCTGTAAGGTGTCAGGCCCTTTATTGATAAGTTTGGGGATATGCTGATGCCAGCTGCTGCTTGTTTAAGAGATTTTAGCAAAGTCTAAAGCCTGAGCCAGGACAGGCCATTCATATGGAAAAGCTACTGCAAATATCTTGGGTGGGGCTGCAAACTGGAGGGGATGGGATCTCAGGGAATCATCAGGTTGATGGGGATTCAGATATGATTGCCAATCAGCCCTGGGACAGGGAGGTCCCAGAACAGGAACAATGACTGCTGTGAGCACTTCCGTCTGATAGAAAGCTGCCCCTGAATTCCTGCACTTCTGCCAGACAATCCGGTTCCTTTCCATGTGTCTGGGTCTCCCAACACTACAGCTTAGAGGAAGTATAATAAGTCTAAGTAAATTCATGCCAGGCCTTTAAGATGGACACCTGGGCCTTCCTGGCAGCCTCTGTGTTCCTCAGCCACAATCCCTGCTGGTTTTTACAGCCCAAGTTACAGGGACTTCTCTTCCCACCTCTTAAACCCTGGATAGGAGGTCTGATGTGGGGCTAGGACTCCTTGCTCCTCAAGGGTGGCCTCCACAGGGATAATTTACTTCTGGATTAAGAAAAAAATGGCACATGTATCTAGTTGGTTTGGCTCAGTGGATAGAGCATTGGCCTATGGATTGAAAGGTCCTGGGTTTGATTCCGGTCAAGGGCCTGTACCTAAGTTGCAGGCTTCTCCCTAGTCCAGGCCTTGGTCAGGGCTTGTGCAGGAAGCAACCAATCGATGTGCTTCTCTGACATTGTTTCTCTTTCTCTTCACTCTCTCTAAAAATCAATGCAAAAACATCCTTGGATGAGGATTAAACAAATAAAACAAAATAACACAAAAACCGGCACACATGGGTGTCAGACCAGTCTGTTCTATGCCTCCATCCATCCTACCAGTCTCAATGTGCTTTCTTCTTTACTTCTCTATTTGTAGGGCTTCCCTTCAGCCAGTTCAGGTGTTCTGAATGATGGTTGTTCTGTATTTTAGCAGAGTGGTGCTGTTTGAAAATGCTATTCCTGGAGCATTTAATAAGCACATCCTCTTTGATCTAACTGTACACTTTCCAACCAGCCCTTCCCTTTTCACCTGGAGAAAACTCACTCAAGAGGTCAATAACTTGTTCAGAGCCACTCAACTATTAAGTTGTGGTTGGAACTCCATACCAATGTCCTCTCCACTAGAGAGCACTGGAAAGACTGCCAAACAGGTCAAATTTATGTTCCAGTAAAGAAAAGCTTCTAAGATATTAAATTTGAGAAAACATTCTCAATACATATCTAGGCCTGGTTCTCAGCACTGAGGAAGTCAACATATGCCTGCAAGACTGACAAAAGGTTTCAGGAACCCCTCTTTGACCCCAAGCTTCTCTCTTTGAGGTCCCTTCCATCCAAGAGACAGACACTTGGTCAGGGTGGAAACACCAAAGGCCCTGACTGAGGGTCCTCACTGACCAGGTTAGCCGAGACTGAGGGCAGCTTCTCTTGATGAGAAGAAGGGAACAAGAATGGGGGCAGGGAGCTGAGGTGGTCCCAGGCAGGGGTTGGAAGCTATCACATGAGTAGATCATTTGGATGGGGGCCGCAGGGCATTGGACAGTTGGTCTCAGTCCTCTCACCCACCCACAAAGGAAGGAGTTTGCTAAGCACCTAACTGTCTCCTCCTTTGAAGACAAAACAAATCCCTTTCTGTACCTGTACCTGTACCTCAGGAAGCCAAAGGCAAGCCAGGCAAACTGCCTGTGGGAATCTGTCTCTACTCTCAAGTGATCTCATCATAGATGTTCCCCGTCACCTGGCACTGTGGGTTAGGACACACACCTTCCCTTCCTGCAGGACATCCTCAACAGGTTCAGACCTACACCAGTCAGCACCATCTTGTTTGGCACCTGCTTGACTCCTTGGGGCCTCAAGCCTCAGACTTCAGCCTCCTGGCCCAGGTGTCCACAACTTCTCCAGGGCCACCCTAACACCCCCTGGGCTCTGCCCTCACCTCCACCACCTCCTCCTCACCTACTACCCTGTCTGCTCACCTTGTCCTTAGCGAGTGGGTCAGGCTTTGAGCCCATACTTTGAGACCTCGGTGTGGGCGGGCTAGTCTCTTACCAACATCTCACCACCCTCCCAGAATATGAATGTCTAAGAGGCAGGGACATGATCACTAAGCAGCTTTATGTCCTCTCGCCTCATTATTTGTGATGGAAAGGTCATATTGCCATTATCAAATATTTACTAAGTGTACCGCCTTCTATGTGAAAGTGAACAAAAAGCCACACAACTCCTAACTGAACCGAGAGCAAGCTTTGTAAAACATACTTCTACAAACTCACCATTTCTAAATCTCCATCAGCAACTGCTCTCAAAAGCTTTTCTACCTTAAAAAAAAAAAAAAAAAAAAAAGAATGTTAGAAAAATAAGTTTAATAAAATAATAAAAATAAGAAGCCCTGGCCAGGTAGTTGTGTTGGTTAGAGCATCAGCCTGTGGACTGAAAGGTCCCAGGTTCGATTCTGGTCAAGGGCATGTACCTTGGTTGAGGGCACATCCCCAGTAGGGTGTGTGTAGGAGGCAGCTGATCGAAGTTTCTCTTTCATTGATGTTTCTAACTACTATCTCTCTCCCTTCCTCTCTATAAAAAAATCAATAAAATATATTAAAAAAAAAAAGAATCTACCCATGACCTCATAAATATGTCTCTCTCTCCCTCTCTCTCTCTCTCTCTCTCTCTCTCTCTCTCTCTCTCTCTCTCTCTCTCTCTCTCTTTCTCTCCTTTCCTCTCTCTCAATAAATGAGAAAAATATTAACATAAACCACCTTTCTGAAAGCTTTCATTTGTTTCTTAATTTGGAATCTTGATTCAATAGCTTTCAAATATATCCCTAAAACTGCTCAGACAGACATCCTAAAAAGTGCTGGAGTGCTCTGAACCCATCACCCTGCAAGGTCTATAAAAGGACACTGCTATCATGTGGCAAAGTGAGATGATGGCCACCTTGAAGCACAAGCACTCCCTAGGCCAGCCACCTTCAGAACTACAATTATTCAGTCCTCATTATCTGCTAGCTGAGCATGTACATACAGGGACATCCATCCCAAGGATGATCCCAGGTCTCTGTAAGGCCCTGGAGAGTGCCTGTTGGTTTTCTTTGCTGTGTTTTTGCATTGGCCTAGCTTGCTGGGTTATCTCCATGGGCAGGTCAGGGCTTGAGGGTAAATGGGAGGAGGGGTCTTAGGCAAAGTCAGTGCAGGTCCCCACCCACAGGGAATGAGCAGAAGAGTTGTGGTGTGGCACATCCATGCAATGATCTACTCTGTGGGCTGACACTGAACAAAATCTAAGATTAAATGCAAAAAACAAAACCCAGGCTATAAATCAGCTTTTACTAAACACAATGTGTGAGTGTATATAAATGTCTATATAAACTTTGTAAGGAGTAAGAAAGTCAGCTAACAGAGGTCTTATGGAGTGGGAAGTGAGGGCAGAGAAAATTCGCTTTGTAAAATGATCTTATATCAGTGGACTTATAGGTGACTTTACTTATACTTTTCTTAGGCTTTTCTCTCTCACACACACACATTGTCCACAAAGCAAAGAGCTGCTGAGGGAGCAGACTATGAAGGGCAAGCAGGGTGAGAACATCTGGGCTCCTCTCCAAGCACCGACGTTGGCCATAGCAGGCAAGGCTATCCTGATTATGGTGGTCAGGCCAACTGGGTGGCCCTCATCAGGCTCTCTTTTCTTTTTCTTTTTTCTTTCTCTTTTTAATATATTTTTATTGATTTCAGAGAGGAAGGGAAAGGGAGAGAGAGAAACATCAATGATGAGAGAGAATCACTGACTGGCTGCCTCCTGCATGCCCCCTATTGGGGATTGAGCCTACAACCTGGGCATGTGCCTGTGGCTGGAATCAGACCCTTCACTCTGCAGGCTGATGCTCCATCCACTGAGCCAAACCAGCGAGGGCAAGCCCTGACTCTTTAACCAGAGCCATATGCAGGGCCTCGCAGCCCTTCCTCCCAGCTGGGGCCTCACCTCTCTGTAGTCCTTCTTGGGTTCCCTTTGTCTGGAACTGACAGACACAGAGGAAGAGCTGGAGGCAGAGGACCTATGACTGATGGAATCCATGAAGTGTTGAGGGGGTGGCACAGGGACCTGCAGCAATGGAGCACGACAAGAGAAGAGGCGGGTGAGAGCCAGAGAGGATGCTCTGATCATAAATAGAGCCAAGGATTACCGCCCTTTCACTTACCACTGAAGACTGTTGCCTCCTTTCAAAGGACATGTGACGGGCTTCCATTATAGACAGAATCTAGGAGGACAAAGGGGACAAGCAAAGTACTGAATGAGATGGATCGCCAAAGCATCACCCATAATACTCCACTGACTGCCCATCTCCTCGGAAAGGGAGACAGCTCAGCCACACCCTTGGAGAGACGGAAACCACGGCCTGAGTGGAACTGCTCAGAACCAGAATAAGTCTGGGCTTCCTCTTGCTGCACCACATTCCTGCTGCCTGGCAGAGGAGCTGGTGCTTCCCATGAATGGGCTCAGAGGACAAGAGAAGCCCAGCCACAGAAGGGGCCTCAAAGGCTGCCCTGTCTAGCCCCCGGGCTATTTGTCCACAGGAATGAAGTGTGGCCTTTTCACTGGCACCTCGAGCAGCTCAGAGCAGACCCAAGCAGGCAGCTATCTCCTTCCCTCTGAGACCTCCCTTGGGAAAGGGCCTTTGGAAGAAGAAACCCTCAGCTCCTCCAGGCATCTCAGGCCACAGGCAGCACCCCCCAGTCCAAGCAGACCCTATGAGTGCACGGGAAGTATGGCCCAGGGGTCAGGAGCAGGGATTTCACCTTCAAAAATTGTGCTCCTGTAGATCTTATCTTAAGTTTTCTTGTCATACACAAACATAATAAAGACGAGAGGAAATTTTTGAAGGTGAATAGATATGTTTATAGCACAGATTGTGGTGATGATCTCACCAGTATATATGTATCTCCAAACGCATCAAGTTGTGTACCGTCGTGCCTCATTTGATTGTGCTTTGCTATATTGCACTTTACAAATTGAAGGCAAGACTCTCCCAAGAGCAAAAATTTATGACTCACTTTCCTACGTGGTCTGGAACCAAACCTGCTATTTCCTAGGTGTGCCTAAACATGAAATATGTACAGCTCTTTGTATGTCCATCATACCTTAATAAAGTAATTTAAAAACTGTGCCACTTGCCGAAACCAGTTTGGCTCAGTGGATAGAGCGTCGGTCTGCGGACTGAAAGGTCGCAGGTTCAATTCTGGTCAAGGGCATGTACATTGGTTGCAGGCATATCCCTAGTAGGGGGTGTGCAAGAGGCAGCTGGTCGATGCTTCTCTCCCATCAGTTTTTCTAGCTCTCTATCCCTCTCCCTGCCTCTCTGTAAAAAATCAATAAAATATATTTTTTTAAAAACACAATAAAACAACCGTGCTACTTCTAGAAAATGATATAAACTGAAAGGCTTCCCTAGAAGAGAGTCAGAAACTAAACGGAAGCTGAAAGCATCAAGAAACAAAAAACAAGGCCTGTGCAGAGGGAGACAATAGGAGGCCTGTATTAGAACAGAATCATTTGCCCTAGCTGGTTTGGCTCAGTGGATAGAGCATCAGCCTGCAGACCAAAGGGTCCCAGGTTTGATTCTGATCAAGGGCACATGCCTCAGTTGTAAGTTCCTCCCAGGCCCAGGCCCTGGTCAGGGCTTATGCAGGAGGGAACCAATCAATGTGTTTCTCTCACTTCGATGTTTCTCTCTGTATTTTCCTCTCTCCCCCACTCTCTCTAAAAATCAATGGAAAAATATCGGGTGAGGATTAACAACAACAACAACAAAAGAATCGTTTGCCCTGATCAGTACTGCTCTGTGGTTAAAGCATTGTCTCGTGCACTGAAGGGTAAGTAGCAGGTTTAATTCCCTGTCAGGACATATACTCAGGTTGTGGGTTCAATCCCCAAATGGGGTGCGTATGGGAGACAAACAATTGATGTTTTTCTCTTATCCCCCCCTCCCCCTCATTGATGAGCAATATCCTCAGGTGAGGATTAAAAAATAAAATACATAAAATGGAATCATTTCTGTGAGCCACAAATGTTCTAGACACATCAACCTTATGACCTGGGACCTTTCACTCACATGACTCAGCTTCCTCTGGCCAGCTGGCCAACCACACTTCACTGAAGGCATGCCTTCAATCTGCTGGCAGATGAGGTACAAAGAAATGGTTTTTCTAAGCTGCGGACTCCTCATTCCCCACTCACTTATGAAGTGAGCACTTTTACATGTTGTCAAAAACTGAATACTAGTCTGGACTGGTTTGCCTCAGTGGCGAGACTGAGAGGTCCCAGGTTCAATTCTGGTCAAGGGCATGCACCTTGGTTGCAGGCACATGTCCAGTAGGTGTGCAGAAGGCAGCTGATCGATGTTACTCTCTCATTGATGTTCCTAACTCTCTATCCCTTTCCCTTCCTCTCTATAAGAAATCAATAAAACATATTTAAAAAACAAAACAAAACAAACAAAAAACCCCAAAGAAAAACACACAAAAAAACTGAATGCTCCCAGACATTACTCTCAGGAAAGGATGAGTAGTTCATTAACAAATCACTTTTGGAAGAAGTAATACCCAATGATGCTCAAAATTGGTCAAATCAGGATCAAGTTTTTAGGAGCTGAAGATGAAGTGACATCCTTTACTGCTTCCATGTTCCATTCCCTTTTTCCACTTCTGCTGGTCAGAGTTACTCTCCCGTTTTACCCACTCCATTTGCTCATAAGGCAATAGCATTCAGAGGCTGGGGCAAACTCTGCTGGGAGTAGCTCTTAGAACACAAAGAACAACTCATCCTAATATATTAATATAAAAACCCAGGGTCCGACTGACCGACTGGATACTGGAAGTCAGTCCTGTACTCAGTGCTGGGTTGCCATGGGGACCCAGCAATGACTGCTGCTGGTGCAGGCGTAGTGACCCAGCACTGACTGCTGAGCGGGCTGTAGATCAGGCCCAGAGAGAGGCCTGAAGAGAGAGGCAGGGTCTGATCCGGAGCCTCCGTGACAGCTGTTGCCTCTCTTTCTCTTCGGGCTTCACCAGCAGCCGTACCTCTTTTTCTCCCTAGACCTCCAAGGGGGCTGCTGATTAGCCCTGCCTCTCTGGTCAGGCCTAGAGATAGGCCCAGAGATGCTAACTGGCATAGAAACTGACCAATCAGAACCAAATCTGGGTGAACTGTGAGGAGCCAATGGCTGCCTAGGAGGCGGAGCTTTTAACACTGACTGGCATAGAAAATGAACAATCAGAACCAAATTGGCCGGCAGAGGAGGGCAATTGGGGGCAACCAGGTCGGCAGGGGAGGGTAGTTGGGGGTGATCAGGCAAGCAGGGGAGGGCAGTTGGGGACAGGTGAGTGGTTAGGAGGCAGCAGTCCCAGATTGCAGTAGGACATTCTCCAAGGGGTCTCTGATTGGACAGGGTGCAGGCTGGGCTGAAGGAACCCCCCTCCGTGCATGAATTTCATGCCCTAGGCCACTAATAATAATATAAATAAGTAAAAACCCATTAACCATCAGGACCCAAATGCAGCAGAGAGAGTACAGGCCAAGTCCTGCCCTCAGGCACTAATGCAATTTGTCCAGCATAGCCAAGACCTAATCTGTAGACATTGATTTTCTTTTCAAAGTCACAGTCCTTTAAAAAAAAAAACAAAAAAAACACACAAAACACAAAAACATACACACACAAAAACAATCTACCTTTGGGTTTAATGCACACTTGAGGGGCGTTTCTTTCATTCTGTTCTGGATCTCTGTGGATGCTCCATTTTGTAGCAACGTCTCTATGATGCCCTGGTAACCCCAGCGTGCAGCTATGTGTAGGGGGGTGTCTCCTTTCTCATTACCAATATCTAGTTTGCATGATTGCACATCATAGTAGACCAAAGCCTTCACACACTGCAAAGAAATTGGGAGATGCCACATTATCTCACATGCTAAGCCCCAAGCAACATCTGTGTACTCCACAGCCTAGATCCAGGTCCCAGCTCAATCAAGGCTCCACTAACCAAGCAACTGCACAGTTACAGAGAGGGAACCCAGGGGCTCCAGGTTACCTGATCAAGACACCTCGCTTTCTCAAAGAACTCAAGGGTCTGTCAGTTAGAAATGGCTAAATACATTGTGATGTATCTATGTGCAGAAAGAAATGACCACAACAGGCCCGAGACCACAATCCCTTGAAAGGCCTGACTGCAAGGTTGGCCCATGACTTGCAGTATTCCTTGGGAGCTTGGATTTAGGTTGTGTCTAAGTCCCCTACCTGGTAAGAGGGGCTCACTGTGCCCAACCTGTGATATAAACACCCATTTTCTTTCTGGAAGTCTGACATTTTGGTACATGCCAGGCAGAGGGTGTTTACATGACCAGCCTCCAATAAAATGTGCCCTGAGTGGCACAATGAGCTGCACTGGTGGATAATATTTCATAGGTATTGTCACAATCAATGGGTAGTCTTAAGAACACTGATGCAATACACATAATTGATTACTGCAGCGATGAAAGACAGGCCAGATCTATATTTACTGACCTAGAGAATTTCCATAATGTAGCATTAAGTTAGGAAAGCAAGCTGCATGAAAATATGTAGGGTACGATCTCGTTTTTACACATCACCCACCTCACCCAGCTTCAACCCTATCTATAATAATAAAAGCATAATATGCTAATTAGACCAGATGGCCTTCTGGACAACCTTCTGGATGAAGCCGGGGCTATGAGGGAAGCCCGGGTCCCGGGGGCCTTCTGGTGGCCGGGGGGGAAGGCCTACTCTTGCACAAATTTTGTGCATCAGGCCTCTAGTATACATATAAAACTACTTGTATGTTACTATGAAGAGAAGGGGGAGAGAGAATAGTTAGGAAAAAATAAAACACTGTTAAATATTAAATGAAAATGGAAATTATGAAATTCTTTGATATTACTATAAAAAAGTAAAAGGTAGAAATTGAATATGAATATAAGAGTCAGATGGTAGCAGGGATGAATGAAAATAATTTTATGACAGATAATGAGCAATCAAGTTTCAGGTTTGTTATTTCAACCTATCAACTATAATAAACTTAAAATTTTTTAATTAAAAAAATTACACACCAAATTGTCCAATAATTATCCACATAAAACACACTACACTAAACTAAGTAAAATTTCACATTTCTTCATGGAGAGAAAGGGTGAACGCAGCCGGGGACAGCAAGTACCACTTACGTCTTCGTGGCCGTGAGTGCAGGCCAGGTGGAGGGCGGTGTTCCCGTTATTGTCTTGCACATCAGTGCTGGCCTTGTAGTGCAACAGCAGCAGCTTGCAAAGGGGAGGAGAAAGCAGGTGATAAGGGGGAGGTCACTTGCTTCTATTTTCAATCTTATGTACCCATTCTACAAATAAATGATATCACTCTCATCCTTCCTTAGAGAGAAAAATGTTTTGAGATATAAAAAAGTACAGCCCTCCCTCCTTCTACCCCCAGATTATCAGGACATTTTAGGAAAGTAAGTCCTAAAATGTTTGTCCTGATAACCTAGACCTCACAGTTTTGTCCGGGGCTGGAGGAGTCCAGACTCGCAGCCCTGCTGTGCAGCTGCAGCATAGCCAGTGGGACAGAGGAGCGCAGCCAGCACAACTGGAGTCAGTCAGAGCCCAGCTCATCCAGCACATGCACTGGTGGCGCCGTCACCCCCTGCTCACCGTCACGCTCTGATAGCCCTTCTGACATGCAAGATGAAGTGGAGTTGACCCGTGATAGTCCATGGCATTCACCACAGCGCCTCTGGAAACCAGGAAGTCAATAAGGGATGCCTGCCCTACAGAACAGAAAGACTTCACAATGGAGAAAAACAAGAGGCTTTCAGACCCTAAGTAAGAAGTCACAACATTACTTTACCCTCTTGTTCCCTGGCATGAATCAAGTCAGACTCCGCAGATTCTGGGCACTTCAGCGTGCCTCTTAAGAGGGACTTAGCTCCAATCTACTTCTTATCAAGAGAAGGTACTGGGAAAGAGCCTTGACACCCACAGAAGATTCCCTGGTTCATAAGATGAATACTGTAAACTATTAAAAAATATGACAAGAAGAGCCGAAACCGGGGCCTGCGGAGGGTCCTGGGTTCGGTTTCGGTCAGGGGCATGTACTTTGGTTGCGGGCACATCCCCAGTGGGGGGGCAGCTGATCGATGATTCTCTCTCATCTATGTTTCTAACTCTGTCCCTCTCTCTTCCTCTCTGTAAAAAATCAATAAAATATATATATTAATAAATATATATATGGCTGGGACCAGTTTGGCTCAGTGGATAAGCGTCGGCCTGCGGACTGAAAGGTCCCAGGTTCGATTCCGATCAAGGGCATGTACCTTGGTTGCGGGCACATCCCCAGTAGGGGGTGTGCAAGAGGCAGCTGATCCATGATTCTCTCTCATCGATGTTTCTGGCTCTCTATCCCTCTCCCTTCCTCTCTGTGAAAAATCAATAAAATATTAAACCAGAAAAAAAAAATATATATATGACAAGAAGAAATGTTCTTACCTATCACTGAGTGAAAAAAGCATAGAATAGAACAGTATGACCCCCACAAGATCATATGCTTTATATTCATATACACACAAGCTCAGGGAAATTCCAGATACTCATAAATCAAAATTATATTTGGGAGACAGAAGGATGGCAGGTGACATTGGAGAAGATTGTGTTTCTACTTTGTGCACTTTAAAAGTTATTTAAAAAAAAAAAAAGTTATTTTTTAAAAGCGGGATATAAGAAACCCAATTCTAAGATCATTCTCATAGTTCGGACTCAAGCCTTCCCTCCTTGACCCCAACCCAGGACAGTGAGAACATGGATAAGCCCAGGAGCAGCACAGGAAAGCCTGAGGAACGTCTGCTATTCTCTTCCAGCGAAGCCACCAGCGGTGGCCCACGATGCAGCTCTTTCCACACCCAACTGCACTGCACCTGTTGGCCCGGCTTCAGGCCTCTGCTAGGCCATCCTTGGCTCCATCCCTTTTCCTTGACAACCCTCAGAGGCCCATCCAAGACCACATACCACAGAGGGCAGCCACATGGAGTGGTGTATGACCCCTGTCATCTCTGGAGAATGGAGTGACAACTGAAGGATCATTCAGCCTCCTAAAACAGAGAAAAGATACAGAGAAAGAGACCCGAGGAATGGCAGGGCAAAGCCTCCTCCTGACAAGGCTGGTCATGCCAAGGTCTGGGGACTGGAAGACCGAACTCAGGGTGTGATCCAAACTGGGCCTCTCGTATAGAATCCACTCCCTGCTCACAGGGTGAGGGACTGAGGCATCTAGTGTCCGTGCTGGCCACCCCACTCCTCCAGGCCTTGACACCCAGCAAAACAACCTGAGGAGGTTAATGGGAGGCCAAAAAGAGTTTCTGGAGGAAGCTGGTGTTCCTCCCATCCTAAACACATTTGCCGAGGCCGGGCAGGCCCTATATCTGTCTACCCTGTACCCAGCCCAGCAGCGTGCCAAGCACTTTTAGGACCTTTATTCCATCTAATGCTCCAAAGAGGCAGAGATGAGTGTTCCCACTTTATGGCAGAGGAAGCTGAGTGCATCCAGGATAAGTGCCTCATTCAAAATCACATGGCCAGGAAGTAGAAAAGTTCCATCAAAGCCCTTAGTATCCTGCTTCCTGGCACACGGAGCCTCCATGCGGACTCTCTTACCCAGAGACCAGTTTCTCACAGTCCTCACAAAAGCACAGGGGGTGGCACATCTTTTGGATGGCATCTTTATCTTGGTCTTCTTGGCTCAGAAGCCTTTCCACTTCTTTTTGGTTACCTGAAGCAATGTGCTGAGAAGTGATATCAAAGATACTATCAATATTGAGAAATTTGCTTTTTAAGGTGTGAATTTTTTGAGTGTTGCTAAAACACTAATATATGGATGGATGAATTGATTTGCTCTCTGAGATTTATTTCAAAATCATCTGGGTGGGTGAATAGGGAAAGGGGTAGGGATGAACTAAGTTTGGGAGATGGCTATATGGAACCTGTCCATGACACTAATCTTTTACTTTTGTAGTTTGTAAATGTAAGAAATTTTCATAATTAAAAAAAAATGACAACTGACAAAATTCCCAAAGCAACAGAAGTAGAGAAGCAATACATTCAGAATTCAGACTCTTACTAGAACAAGCCTCGGTCCTGTGCTCCTGTATCTCATAAACCTTAGCTTGCAGGGTGAGGGAGGAAACAGCTGCAATCAGCAGGAAATCCCATCAAAAACCAAGACTGCAGGGCTCACCCCTGTGATTCCTGGATGTGTCCCCCAGGGAGTGGGATGTTCTGGGGAGCACCCTGCCCCAGGTGGCGCTCTGGGCCTCCATGGAACCCACTCTGGCTCCGGTGACCTCTTGGGGCGATCTGCCCTCTCCTAGTACTCCCTTACTGCCCAGTGGGCACCTCGACAGCCTCCCAGCAGTTGAACAGATCTGAGCAGATAGCTGGGTGCACGTTCTGCTACATGATCAAACCACCCCCAGGCAGTCCGCTCCCAGCCCAGGGGAAATGCACACTTGAGATGTGGGGCTCCTGGAATGAGAAGAGGCATCCCCTCTGTGGGGCCTCCAGGGAGGTACCACTGAACTGGCCTATGGACAAACTGTGTTTTGTCGAGTGGAGAAAGGATAGTTGGGGCAGAGAGTTTCACAGGTGGGAGACCCAGGGCCCTCAGTGAGTCGTCCAGCAGAGTTATCACATAGCACACACTGTGCAGATGAGCACAGGCGCTGATTTCACCTGTAAAACCTCAGCATCCCTACCACCCCGAGCACAAGGCGAACTTCAGTGTTCAGCTACATCGACCACCATGTGGATTCTGTAGAGATGCTGAAAGATGGCGTGCTCCTCACAAAGAAAGACTTCTGGTGTCTTACCTCAAACAGGCAGTCAATGGGAGTTGAAGTCATCTGAGACAGTAAGCTCATTCTCTGCTTAAGGAACAGTCTGTCACCAAATCCCTCAGACTCCTGCAGGAAAACCCAATAGGCTGTTTTATCCCTCGCTCCTCTTTCCCCCTTTCCCTGAGCCACAGAGCTGACCCTCATCAGGATGGGAGAAGGACTTCCTATCTGTCTCTCCAGAAAGTGGTAGCTCTGATGACCGTTTTCCAGGGGAGCTCTGGGAGGTGGCGGCACACTGGCTGTGCACGTGTAGAATGTGTCACCTCTAAGTGTGGAATGTTGCATGCACACACCATCCTCCTGCAGATGGAACCTGGACTGTGCTGGCCTCCTTCTCCTCTCAAGCTTCTGTCCTAACCTGCACAGCCCTATCCCCTGCCATTTTATCTGCAGCCCACAGGCAGGAAAACCATCGGACAGATGATTTATATTTCTCAATGTCAACCAGCAGGGGAGGGAGGAGACTTAGTTTTTGAACATATTATTAAAATAGCAAACAATAGGGCCATTGGCTCCAAGTCCAATGGGATACTGTGGTCTACCCAATTAATAAAGTTATGATTACCTAGATAAAAAAAATCTAATAATGTACCCTTACTTTATTTTTCTTTTTTCTTTTTTTTAAAAGTATTTTATTGATTTTTTTACAGAGAGGAAGGGAGAGAAACAGAGAGTTAGAAACACTGATGAGAGAGAAACATCGATCAGCTGCTTCCTGCACATCCCCTACTGGTACATGCCCTTGACTGGAATCGAATCTGGGACCCTCCAGTTCACAGGCCAATGCTCTATCTACTGAGCCAAACCAGCTAGGGCTATTTTTCTTTTTTATTGAACTTTTTGGGATGACATTGGTCAACAAAATTATATAGATTTCAGATGCACAAATTCTATAACAAATCATCTGTATATGTACTGTGTGTTCACCACCTCAAGTCTCCTACTGTCACCATTTATCCCCCCTGTACCTTCTCCTATCTATCTTTATTTTATAAAATAATTTCTAGCAAGATACTTTAATAATGCTCAGTTGAGCACCTGCTACTAAACTGTTTAATGACAAATTAACTTCCTTAAAAAGTCTTTGGGTGGTAAAGGGAGTTTTTTTCCGGCGAGTTGCTGCCAGAAGAACTCACCAACCCAGATAAAACTTTAGGATAAGGCTGAAATCGGTTTGGCTCAGTGGTAGAATGTCGGTCTGTGGACTGAAAGGTCCCGGGTTCGATTCTGGTCAAGGGCATGTATCTTGGTTGCAGACACATCCCCAGTAGGGGGTGTGCAAGAGGCAGCTGATTGATGTTTCTCTCACATCAATGTTTCTAACTCTATCCTTCTCCCTTCCTCTCTGTAAAAAAATCAGTAAAATATATTTAAAAAAAAACACAAAAAAAACTTAGGATAAGGCTCTCTAAGTTCTGACTTACAGATCCAGCTAAAGTTAGAGCTGACAGCATTTCGAGAAGTAAACCATTTCTGGGGTCTGCTGTCAAGACTGCCCTCAGAGGATTAACTTGGCAAATAAACACCAACACCTCTAAGACAGTAAGCTCATTCTCTGCTTAAGGAACAGTCTGACAGCATTAGAACCACTTTAGCTCCCAGTTGTTGTAAGTTATGAGTACTCTGTAGGTTTTTTTCAGTGACTTATAGCTGAGCAGCTTAGGGTCAGAGAAACATCAAAGACATTACTGTCCAGGTAAATTCGATGTTCTTTCCTCGACTCTGGGGAATTATCAAGGGCAGCGATGAAGAGAGGCAAGACTTCTAGGACTGAATCTTCAGGGGAAAATGAGCTGCCAGAAGACATAGCATAAGAGAGAAGACCTATTTGGGAATGGGGTGAACACTACTTATTAGAAACCTGGTCAAGTGAGAAAAACCAGAGCCTGAAAAGCTAGAGCAGAGGAGGGTACAGATGCTTCCAGGTTCTCTCTCTTGGCTTTTCATCCCACTAATGTGTGTTTTTAAAAAAATATTTTTATTGATTTTAGAGAAGAAGGGAGAGGGATAGAGAGATAGAAACATCAATTATCAGAATAATTGATCAGTTTGCTCCTGCTTGCCTCCTACTGGGGAGAGAATATTAAAAGCATTAATATTCCTACAAGGGAGTTAATTACCTACAAGGGAGCACTCATACGACTATCAGCTGATTTCTCAACAGAAACTATGCAGGCCAGAAGGGAGTGACAAGAAATATTCAAAATGATGAACAACAAGAACCTATAACCAAGATTACTCTACCCAGCAAAGCTATCATTCAGAATTGAAACTCAAATAAAGAGCTTCACAGACAAGAAAAAGTTAAAGGAGTTCATAAACACCAAACCAGGATTACATGAAATGCTGAAGGCTATTCTTGAAGGAGAGGAAGAAGAAGAAAAGTAAAGGTAAAAATTACGAACAACGAAAAGACATCAAATACATACCTACCAACAAGTGAATCTAAAAATCAAGTGAATAAAAAATCTGAAGAACAAAATGGACTGGTGAACATAATAGAATCAGGGACATAGAAAGGGATTTGGACTAACAATTCTCAGGGGGAAGGGAGTCTGAGGAGTGAGGGAAGAGATTGGGCAAAAATCTTACACCTATGAATGAAGACAGGGGCGGGGGGGTAAGGGCATGGGGTGGAGTTGGGGATCAGGTGGAGGGGAGCTATAGGGGAAGAGGGGGGAAAGAGGAACACCTGTAATAATCTGAACAATAAAGATTATAAAAAAATAAAAAAATAAAAAGATCCTCAAAATTCACATAGAAATATAATTTCCTCTCCTTAGCCAAAGCTCACCAACCAACCAAGAAAGTAATAATAAGGTCACTGAGTCCTAAAATTGCATACATTAACCTCATTTCCTGCCTATATGGTCAAGATATCCGAAGTATTGTTTCTAGCTTCCCCTCTGCCCATGTGCTTTTGAGGATGCCGAGGATCAGTGAAGTAGGATATAAACAATGTAAGTCTGGATGAAAATGCACAAACTTTCACAGCCAAATCTGGTTCTCAGTGTGCAGTGTGCTGGGTTGCTTTCTGGGTTCAGGGCCTGTAAACAGCTGAGGCCCCATTCTAAGGAGACCATTTAAGAATTCACCCTCCACATCAACCTCAGAACCCTATCAAATGTGAATGACACCCAAAGACAGACCAAGGTAGGAGGGGATCTTACCAGCGGTTTAACAGAGAGGCTTCCTTGCCGAATATATTCAATTGCAGCTTCAATTGAGGTCAGGCAGTATCCCAATTCATCTTTTGTCGAGTTGCTAAATCTGAAGTTTTTGATATAACTCAAATTTGCCATCCTAACAAAAGGGAAAAAATGTTTTATTCTTGTATACAAGTAACACTTGCAGAAACAATGCCATTGGCTTAAGTGACTGAACTTGGTTAGCTCCAGGAACACTGACTGCTAACACCTCACTCTCTATTCAGAGTGTGTGTAATTAGGAAATAAATAAAACTACTTGTTATTTTCCTGGAATAGGCTTTAATATATGTGTGTGTGTGTGTGTGTATATATATATATATATATATATATATATATATAGTTGATATTTTACAGAGAGGAAAGGAGAGGGATAGAGAGTTAGAAACATCGATGAGAGAGAAACATCCTGCCTCCTGCACTCCCCTACTGGGGATATGCCCGCAACCAAGGTACATGCCCTTGACTGGAATCAAACCTGGGACACTTCAGTCCGCAGGCCGACACTCTTATCCACTGAGCCAAACTGGTCAGGTAGGCTATTTTTAATTTTTATTTATTTTTAAAATTGATATTTAGAGAGAGAGGGAGGGAACATGTGAGATTGAACCATGGATCAGCTGCCTCCTACATACTCCCTCCAGGGAATTGAGCCCGAAACCTGGGCATGAGTCCTGACTGAGAATTAAACCGGCAACCTTTCAGTGCACAGGATGATGCCCAACCAACTGGTCTGAAATAAGCCATTTTTTTAGAAATCTCATTATTATAAAGTGAGCTGTGAGTTCCTTTGGGACCACACAGCTTCCTGCTTAGCCACTGACTAGCTGCATGTTCCAGAATGAGAAACGTAAGCTCTCTGGACCTCCATTTCTTATCTATAAATGGAATGAGAGCCACCCACTGCCAAGTGAAGGTGGAGCAGGCATAGCACCTGACTCATGAGAGGTGCTCAATTTCCTACCCTGTTTCCCCAAAATAAGACAGTATCTTATATTAATTTTTTCTCCCCAAGTTGCGCTAGGTCTTATTTTCAGGGGAAATACGGTAGTTATACTTAAACTGCCATAGTATATAGTACAGCCATTTCAAAAACTATTTTAACAAAAAATATTACCAATTAGGTATCTCTGTTTTCACAAGCAAGTATAACAGGACCGATAGCAGATCATCAGCACACATAGTCTCCAAGTTAACTGCAAGGGAAACATGTTCAAAGTCATCACGAGACTGAAATGGACCAATAATCCTCTCAACTCCTCATCCCAATTCAACCCCAAAACCACAATCCAGTAAGATTAAACATTAGAGAGAAATTCCATTGCACAATTTCCTTTATAGTGTCCTGAACAGATGTCAGGTTCAAGGGGAACACAAACGCCTAGCACTCCCAGAACATGTACAAGACAAGGGAACTCCAAGCAAACCACCCCTCGCCACCTTCCTGGATGGGCAAAAGCCCAGGGAGGTCAGTGATAGTGGACAAAAAGCAAAGGTGTGCCCAGAGCCACTGCTGAAAGCCTCTTCCCTCCTGAGATCATTTCTGGCTTATGCACTGTGGAATCCAATGCTGAAGTAGCTATTTTTTTTTAATCCTCACCCAAGGACATGCTTGTAGAGAGGAAAGTATGCCACATACACCACATTTTATTTCATTTATTATACTTTTAAAATCATTCCCTATCTGCATACACAAATCTGCCTCATTAATTTTTTCTGGGTTATTTTGTTTAACTTTTATACTGGAAAATTTTAAACATATACTAAATGAGTGCAAGCAGTCTAAAGGACATTTGAACCCCTATATATCCATCACCAGCTTGGCTCATTTCTGAGGCTGCTGTTCCTCTGCCACCATTTTCTTTTTCTCCCCCACCACGCCACCCACTTCTTCCTCTGCCACCATTTTCTTACCACAGTCATGACACATCTACCCCCATCCCTTTAGTAGGCACTCATCAGCACAGAACCCAAGGCGCTCAAGTTGGAAGGCTGGGCTGAACACACCAGCCATCTGTATGGTCCTTTAAGACAGCACTGCTCCTTAACAGACTTCTGCTTCTGGGTGGATGCATCTACCCCCCTGCCCGGCCCCTTCCCCAGCACAAACCTCTCTGGCTAGGAGACTGTGTAATTAGCTGCACCACCTTTCGCAAACAAACCAACTTCTGCTGTGGGGAGGTACATTTGTTCAGCTGGGCCAGTTCTCTCTTTGCACGAGGTATGTTGAAGCTGTAAAATAATTTGGCAAATGACAACTGAAGAGCACAGCATAAGGGCCTTTTTCTCTGGTCTAATAATGTACCTCTGATTTACATTTCTTATAACAAATCTTAGTAATGAAAAATAAAAATAAAAACTCAGAAGCCATCTCACTCAAGTTAGTGGCAAAACACAACAGCTACAAATGTCTCATTCAGGCTGCCTAGTGACAGCAGCACCAGAAAATTAGAGGGGGGAAATCAAAAGTCCTTAGCCTCAGAATGAAATAGCCCAAAGGGGAAAAATAAGTAGTTTAAACATAAACACTTTAGACACTTTTTTTATCCTAATGAAACTTAATCCAGAAGGAGGTGTCTCTTTGACAGGGTTCCCTCGATGGGCAGATGAGGAGAGCTGTCTCCATGCAGAACCCACCTGGGTGAGCTACGTGCCCACCTAGAGACCAACTGTGGTAACCACAGCCCCGTTAGCTCCCACCCAGGTGGTAAGTAGGCAGACAGTTGCAGGAGGGTGACAGCTACAACATAGTCATTTGCCAGCATCAGCACCTCATCTTTGGTCACAAATAACTGCACTGCTCCTCAACGTGAAGCAAGTCAAACCAGCCTGCTGGCACTGCTGTCGAAGGCCCTGCTTCTGAGGAGGCTGAGCTGCTACAGTGCAAACCCTTACCTGAACTCAGGTTTCACACCAATATCTTTCTGCTGAAGATCTTGAAGGCTTCTTGTGATTTTGTTAAAGGCAGCATCCTAACAACAGATTTTAACGAAGCTTCAAATTTCCTAGAAAGCACAGAATAAGGCTTCCAACCTGGGTGATGCAGATTTAGAACCTACCTCACTTGCCTCCATCGTCCCCACATATTTAAAGATCAGATCATAAATATCGTGTTGGACGTACATCTGTGAAATCAACGAGCCCCAGTTCAGGGTGTGTATGTGGGCAGCAAGGAGCGTTGCAGCACTGCCGCCTTCTCTCCCCTCACTGCCCTGGCCTCTTACCTCTACTGCCTGCTTCATCAGGTTCATCTGTGCCTCATGCCTGGCAAGCATCTTCTAGAAGACAAAAAAAGTAGCGTAAAAGTGCTTGGCTTTGCATGTGGGCAAACAGCAATTCTCTCTTTTGAAAGTCCTGCTGCTTACCAGGTGAGAGTCCCTCAGAAGGTGCTGGAGGCATTTGGTGTAGAGCGCATACACCGCGTCCTAAGTGACAGAGCGGAGAGACAGGTCACTCTCGTAATCTGAGGCCGTAACACAAAAACCAGGACATGTTGCATGAAGAAAATATTTTACAAAATGTAACAGACTTTAAGTGATTATGCATGCTTATCAACTCAGTGATTTTTTTTTCAACTTTTTCTTTTTTTTTTTTAGGTGTATATGCATTAAAAGTAGAAACAAATCCTTTTGGAGTTAACAAGATGCATACAGACACACACACACACACACACACACACACACACTCACACAACATTGATTTCAGAGAGGAAGTGAGAGGAAAAGATAGAAACATCAATGATGAGAGAGAATTATTGATTGGCTGCCTCCTGCATGTTCCCTAATGTGGATCAAGCCCCCAATCCAGGCATGTGTCCTTGACCGGAATTGAACCAGGCCAGTGCTCTATCCATTGAGCCAAGCCAAACCAGCTACGGATATATATATATATATATATATATATATATTAGAGGCCTAGTGCATGAAATTCATGCACGGGGGATAGGGTGGGGGGGTGGGAGAGGAGGTGTCCCTCAGCCCAGCCTGTGCCCTCTCCAACAATCTGGGACATTCCTCTCACAATCCAGGACTGCTGGCTCCCAACTGCCTGCCAGCCTGATCACCCCTTAACCATTCCCCTGCCAGCCTGATCAACACTTAACTGCTCCTCTGCCGGCCTGATTGCCCCTAACTGCCACCCCCCCCTTGCTTGGTTGTCCATAACTTCCCTCCCCTGCTGGCCTGGTCACCCCCAACTGCCCTCCCTTGCTGGCCATCAGGTGTCCACATGGGGGCAGCCATCTTGTATTGGAATGATAATCAACTTGCATATTATCTCTTTATTATATAGGATATATTTTTTTAATCCTACCAGAGGATATTTTTTCATTGATTTTTTTGTGTGTGGGGTAGAGTGGAAGGGGAGAGAGAGAGAGAGAAACATTGATGTGAAAGAGACACATTGTTTGGTTGCCTCACAATGCACCCTGAGTGGGGCTGTGTGTAGGATGATGCTCTAACCACTTTGCCCACTGTCCAGGGTGATAATATTAATTTTTATACTTCTCTGTGATTTTCAAGTTTTCTACAGTGGCTTGTACTACTTTTATAGTTAGAAAGAAATATTTCAAACAAACTTCCAACAGTGGAGGCAGCAAAGCTTCAGAGTAAACTGAGGGATTCTGGGCTCTCAACTGGCCTGAGACCAGGCATGCCTGGCAAAGCAAGACACAGGTACTGACTATGTGATGACGGAGGCTCTTCCTTTCACATTCCCTGAATGTTCGCTGGAAAGAGGCAATGTTCTTGTCAAATCTCTCCGAGTGTCTTCCCAAAAACTCTCTCACATCTTCGATGGTTTTCAAGGAAAAGGTATCTGAGGGTGTTGAAGGCTCTTCTGAAAAAGAGACAGAGTCAGGATGAGTGAAGCTTTCACTGTTTCCTAACAGGGGAAGTGCCACATCCTTTGCCCTGCTTCCCCAGGGGGAAGAGGAGGATGAACCTATTTCAAGATATTGCCCAAGGGCAGCCCAGTTATAAGACAACCCAGGGTTCAGAGAGCCTACTCCTATGAGACTGTTTTCTGGGACAAAAACTAGACTATCTGGGACCTTGGGCTTGATCTCTATGGCTCTTGTGAAGAAGCCCTGATACTTGATAAGAGCCTCAGACTACATTTGGCACATTGCTGCCTCAATTTCCTGCAGCAGCTGGAGAATTGTTATTAAAAATAATGAGATGTCAAAGAGGCACCACAGTGGGGCTGGTGGGTAGTAATGCTATAAGAGTTAACTCTAAAGCTGAGGTCGAAGCAAAGCCAGGGCTACCACTTTGCACAACTCTAAGGGACGACACCCACACTGAAGCCTATGTGACTACTGCCTCCTGGAACTGTCACGTCCAAACTGTGAACCTTACACAGCAGCCCAGTCCACACCTCAGCTCGAGAAAACCTTCTGATTAAATTCTATGGGGAATTATGTAAATAATTATTCAGCTTTCTTGTGGGCTCTTAAATATTTTATGGGATGTTTGTAACAATTATGTCCGGAGGAAATTTAATAAATACATTGCTCCAAATCATGAGAAAGGGGTTTTCTTATAGGATACCTGAACTCTCTCTCTTCTCCAAAGGATGGGCTATACACAGCAGGCTGAAACTTTCTTCTTTTTCATTGTAGAAAGTTTCTTCAAAGAGAATGGGCACTGAGAGAAGACAGGCGAAACCAGTTCCTAATTTAATCCTGTTTCCTTGTATAAAGACATCCTAGAACAAGAAAACCATTACTGCACTACTAGCCAGTGGCGACCATTGACCCCTCCGCCTGGTCCCAATACAGTATTTTACCCAACCTGCCCCTCTTTGCTCCAATGTGGGTTTGCAGGGACAGCATTACTCTTATTGATTTTTACACACACACACACACACACACACACACACACACACACACACACACACTCTGACTTGTTGTTCCACTTATTTATGCACTCATTGGTTGATTCTTGTATATGCCCTAACTAGGGATGGAACCCATAAACTTGGTATATATGGAAGATGCTCTAACTAATTGAGCTATGGCCATAGGAGGACTACTTTTTAATTTGCTTTTTGATACTAAAATGTTTTTCTTTCCTCTTTGTTCACTCTGTAGTTGTGGCCACAGTAGTATCCTGAGCCTTTTTATATTCTTTAAAATATATTTTTATTTCAGAGAGAAAGGGAGGAGGAAAGGATAGAAACATCAATAATGAGAGGAAATCATTGATCAGCTGCCTCCTGTACACCCTACACTGGGGATTGAGCCCAAAACCCAGGCATGTACCCTCACAATGAATCAAACCCATGACCTCCTTGGGTCCATGCTTAACCAGAGCCACATTGGATGGGCCCTGATCTTTTTTAAATGTTGCATCAGAAGAAGCACTAAGCTGCTTCTCAGAGTAGCAGAAACTACACCTTCCAGATATGGAAGAGTAGGAAGGCTCTCCTATCTGAACAGAAGACCAAGTGTCCGGTGTTCAACTGGATGGGACTGGACAATGATGCTGTGTCCGCTTTGAGGCTCATCACTCTGGCCATGGCCAGGGAGCCCATGGCAGACCCGCTGTGATAAGCCTGACTGCTCTGCTCTTTGTAGATCTGGGTACCCAAAGAGAACAAAAAACTAACGAGGGACTGGCAGCTGTGGTGAGCAGATCTCTGGCAGGAAAACAGTGGCATGCCTCGTGAGCCACTGGGCTGCTGACCTCCAAGCCAGTGTCCAGGTCACTCCATGCCCCATCACTCTTCTTCTCTACAGTGCCTACAGCTGCTGAGTTGGAGAGTCCTGACTAGGAATGGAACCTCCCACTGTCAGAACCTACTTGTTTACACTTAAAAAATAAGAAAATGTATATTCCAAAGTTAACTCTGACAATGAAATAGATGGACATCATGTGCCCCCTGAAGTGATACATTGAGGAAGATAAGATACCCTGTGGAAGCAATCCTACCAGAAACGATAACTGCTAATCTAATCAGGAGGAAACATCTGAGGGCCCGCACGGAGGGAGAGTCCCCAAAGCAAAACAGAAATGCCAGTGTCATGAGAGACAGACTGAGAGCCTCTTGCAAAAGAAGAAAACTAAAAATGCATTCTGTGACCCTGGGTCTGAAAGGAGAGTATTAGTGCAATTAGCATAGCTTGTATAAGAGCTAGATGTTGGAGGACAGTACTCTATCACTGTTAACTTTTCTGAGTGTGATCACTGTGCTCTGGTTATGTAGGAAATACAGACTGAATTATTTTGAAGTAAAGAGACATGGTTTATGAAACATTTTCTAAAAGAGGTTCAGAAAAAGTAGTATAGTGATAAAAAAGTATTATGCATAGTGATAAAATAAATGTAGCCATAATGTTAATAGTTCACCAATCTAGGGGAAGGATATATAAGAGTTCTTTATACTTTACTGAAACTTTCTGCAGGATTGAGATTATTTCAAAACAAAATTGTGTGTTTTTAAAAAATATATTTTTATTGATTTCAGAGAGAGAAAGAGAGAGAGAAGATAGAAACATCAATGATGAAAGAGACATGCCTCTTGCATGTCCCTTCCTGGGAATCGAGTCCATGACTTGGACATGTGCCCTGACCAGGAATAAGGACCTCCTGGTTCATAGGTCATTGCTCAACCACTGAGCTATACCAGCCTGGCTCAAAAGAAAGTAAAAAAAATTAAACTTCATCTCTGATCTCCAATTTGTGGCCAAGAAACCAATGAGCTCTCAATGTCACAGGGATATAACAGCTTACTTTGCCAGGATCTTAAGGAAGAGATATCACTGGCAGGAACCCCACAGGCTGAGGAAGAGATGCCCAGCCAAGGCCCTGCTGAGCTCTACCACCTCCTCTTTCCTCAAAGGCAGCAGACCCTCCAACCCCATACCACAGGACTGATGTGATAAGGCCATCATTTAGCATAGATGTGAAAGGGGGACAAGCAGGATTCTCTCCCCTCCAGCCCACCCAAACACTGAGTGAGTAACCCTGGTTGACCCACAAAGAAATGAATACCTTTCCATTTAAGGTCTGAAAGTGTTCTTCCACTGGTTTCAAAATATAGGACTCAAACTGACAAGTAGACTGAACATTGCTTGTTAGGCTTCCTTTGCAGGGTACTAAGACCTGGAAAAAAAAATAATTAGAGTGAATACTAGAAATGTGTCATTTACAACTTCAGCAGAACAGGATGCATCACAAAATATTCCAGCTGGAACTGTTGTGGGGACCTACTGCAGAGATAATGCCCGGTTCACTTGCCAACACGGCAGCAGGTGATGCCAGCGGACTCAATCTGTTGTCATTGTGATGGAGCCCAATCAGAGGGAGATAGTTCCCACCCCATAGGGTCCCTCCCCACAGCTGGACTGGGTGCCCCAATCAGTCATCAATTGGCTCCTGAATGTTCCAGATGGAGAGAGGATAGTTTAGAAAGCACAGAAAAGTGACACTAATAAGTCACATGTATTCCCACACCTAAATGACAAACACTGCACATGAGGACAGTTTCCTTCCCATCTTCCTTCCATGTTTGTTTTTAAGACTAGTTGTGATCACAGTTGTAACACAAGTACAGAAACTCAGTTTCTTATTTCACACTGTCACCTCCACCAGAGATGGCTCAGTGTGCCAGACCCTCGCTTGGGGGAAGGTGCAATCTGAAACCTGAATTTTTAGTCCAACAGTGGCTACCTCACTGACCAGACACCAGCTTCTCAGCTCCAAGCAGCACAGAAAGGAGTTTGACTCAAAATGCCTGCTGCCCTGGCACATGGATCTATGCTTGGCTCAGGGACTCTCAGACTCCAGTGTACCCGGAAGAAGGATGACCCAAAGCAGTTAAGTCATTCAGAGCCCCATCTCCTAAAGCAGCCCAGCCAAAAGCAAACGGCTTCTGCGCTATCCCCACTCTACAGAAGAGGAAAGTGAGACTCAAGTTACGTAACTTGCCCAGGGTCACACGGCCAGGGACTGGCAGAGCCACATTTCTGACTCCTGACGCCCTCCTAACCACTGCCCATCTGCTGCCTCATGGAAGCACTGCCCAGCACCTCCTGCACTTTCCTGCATAGAACTCGGGGGCCTCTGGGTGCAGCAATCTTCAGGAGCTTCCTCAGGGAGTCAGAAAGAGCAGTGCAGCCTCTCTCCACACGGAGACACCCCAATCCCTCACAGCAGGAAAGGGAGGCACTGACTGGTGGAAGAACTCAAGCCTGTCCACGAAGTGGCCTTGTCCTACCTCAAAAAATCAATACTGAACCAGATCAAGATCTAGATTTAACTACCAATTTCAGGAAATACAGAGAACAGAGGGCCATGTTAAATACCACTACACGCCTGAAACTGGCAAAAGCCAGATCTATAGAATAAATGACCAAAGAAAGAAAGAAAATTAGAAGAAAAAGTTAAAAAGAAACTGAGGATTGCACATTAAGTATGTGCAATTTAGTGTACTTCAGTTTAGCTCAATAAAGTTAGGAGAAAAATGCCGAGACTGGTTTGGCTCAGTGGATAGAGCGTCAGCCTGCAGAATGAAAGGCCCCAGGTTCGATTCCGGTCAAGGGCATGTACTTTGGTTGCGGACACATCCCCCAGTAGGGGGTGTGCAGGAGGCAGCTGATCGATAATTTTCTCTCATCGATATTTCTAACTCTCTATCCCTCTCCCTTTCTCTCTGTTAAAAATCAATAAAATATATATTAAAAAATAAATAAATAAAGTTAAGAGAAAAAGAGAGACTTATCAATTCAACATAATGTGTGGATCTCCTTTGAATCTTGATTTGAACAAACCAACTGTAAAACAAACAAATATGAGCGATTTGGGAAATTTGAACAGGACTAGCCATTAGACAACGTTGAAGAAATATTGAGGCCCTAGTTGATTTGGCTCAGTGCATAGAGCGTTTGTCTGCAGACTGAAGGGTCCCAGGTTCAATTTCAGTCAAGGGCACATGCCCGGGTTGTGGACTCAATCCCCAGTGTGGGGCTTGCAGGAGGCAGCCGATCAATGATTCTCTCTCATCATTGATGTTTCTATCTCTCTTCCTTCCTCTTTGAAATCATCAATAAAAATATATTTAAAAAAAAGAAATATTTAGTAATATTTTTAGCTGTGATAATGGCAATGCCATTTTTATATTTTTAAACGATAAGAGCCCTTATCATTTAAAAATATATTCCTAAATATTTACAGATGAAATCCTATGATTACCATATATATAATTTTCTAGGATTTGCTTCAAAATAATCCATGGCTGAGGATGCAGGGCAGGAGGCGTAGAAATGCTATGTGACTGATCACTGCGATGGTGCATAATAATATTATTCTTTCCACTTTTATGTGTTTGAAATGAAACATAATTTAAAATTTTATTAACAAGAAAAGGAAGGTCCTCAAGTATGAGCCTGGATTGAGAAACCTCCAGGCTCCCAGAGGCCTCATGGCAGAGTGAACACAGAGAGAAGGAAGATCCTGGGGGCCTGGGAGTCTGCCACAAGCAAGGGAACATCACAGACCAAACACAGGGGATGCGGGATGCCAAACTCAGAGAGGCCCTTCCTCGTCTGGACCCAGTCCAGCTCTGTGCATGAAGGAGTCTCCTGGTCCCGTTAGAAGGGCCTCCGAGGATCAGGAACTTCCGAGGTGCTTGGGGGAACTCCACCCCAAGGGTGAATATATTCTATTTCCCTGTTACGAAAGCCTCCTCCACCTCCCTAACTTGCATAGAGTACGGTTGGCTCCCACTGCACTATAACCTCATTACCCAGCACATGGCTTGAAGTATAGAACTGCCCAATCAATGTTTGTGGAGTGAATAGAGGGTCCTCCAACTTCAGGCCCTTCCCCCATGCCCCCAGTTTTCAGGCAGACAATGCTGCCCAGAGCATTTCATTGCAAGCAGAAGCTAGAGGGTGAGTCCTGAGTCCTGCTGAGGTTTGGGGGTGGGGGGTCAAGTGCCTCAAAAGCTGCCCAAGCGGGGGGGGGGGGGGTGTCAAGTGTCTGAGGAATTCTCACAAGACAGAGCCTCAGACTACTTCTGGAATAGATATCATGGAATAGGCCACAAGTTGGAGACCTACTCATTTCAAAGCTTAACAATCGAATAAAGGCAAGAATCAGCATTAGTGACACCCACTCCAGGTTGCCCTCCTGACTCCTCCCCAGGTTGGGTTAGGTACTCCACAGGAACCCATGACTTTTTTTTTTTTTTTTTTAAATATATTTTATTGATTTGTACAGAGAGGAAGGGAGAGAGATTGAGGAGTTAGAAACATCGATGAGAGAGAGTTATCGATCAGCTGCCTCTTGCACACGCCCTACTGGGGATGTGCCCGCAACCAAGTTACATGCCCTTGACCGGAATCGAACCCGGGACCCGTCAGTCCCCAAGCCGACGCTCTATCCATTGAGCCAAACCGGTCTCGGCGGAACCCATGACTTCTGACACTCATTCCTCTGTCCTACAAATAGCCTGTGGAATTCCTGACATATGCTGTGCTCCCCACTCATCCATGTAACCCTGTAAACTCAGCACAGTGCCTGGCACATAGTAGATACTCAATAAATGTTTGTTGGTTGGATCTATAAGAACTAAATCCTAAGAACTAAAATATGGCCACCAGAGCCCCTGGTGCGCTGTCTAGGTATTTTACTTGAAAGTCAGTTCTCTGGAACTTATAAGACATGCTGCTAAGCTCTCAGTCTAGCACTCAAAATCCTACCTAGTCTATAATTAAAGGACCACTATGAAAGGAACATATTTAATCTCCTTTTATAATTTTGTTTTTCCAATAGGCAAACGGACTCATTCCCACTACCCAGGAAACATGGAGGATTCTCCCTCCGACACCCCAAGGACAAGAGCCCAGGGTGCGGCAGGCCTGTCAAGCCTGGTCTGACGAGGTCAGTGTTTAATTAGCTTGGTGGTTGTAAGAAAAGCAGTGTGTGGGTGTCACAGGCCTCTGGGATTGGAAACAGGGAACATGGGAAAAAGAATTTGTGCTGTCCAGACAGAGAGCAACATGATGGCAGGAGGTGAGTGCCTGGACAGGAAGGTGTGGAAGGAAGACTCGAAGATGGGTTAGGGCAGTGGGGGAAGCAGCCAAGTTGCATTCTTAGTTGCCATACACTTTGTGTGAGGATGAGGTGGCCTGCAAGCTCAGCTTACAGGGAGAGGGGTGAGGGGCAGTTAAGCTTAGGGGATATGCATATTTAAAAGTGGTGATCTCACATTTTTTATTTATTTTTATTTATTTTTAATATATTTTATTGCTTTTTTACAGAGAGGAAGAGAGAGGGATAGAGAGTTAGAAACATCGATGAGAAAGAATCATCGATCAGCTGCCTCTTGCACACCCCCTACCGGGGATGTGCCCGCAACCCAGGTACATGCCCTTGACCATAATCGAACCCAGGACCTTTCAGTCCGCAGGCCGATGCTCTATCTACTGAGCCAAAACGGTTTCAGCTTTATTTATTTTTTTACCCTCACCTGAGGATATGTTTTTATTGATTTTAGAGAGGGGAGAAGAAAGAGAGAGAAACACATCATGAAACACATCGATTGCTTGCCTCTCGCATGCTCCCCCACCAGGAATCGAACCTGCAACCTTTTGGTGTACGGGATGATGCCCCAACTGCGTCACTTGGCCAGGACCACAGTGTGGCATTGAAAAGCACCTGAAACTTACATAAAAAGCACCTGAAACTTACATATGTTATCTAGACAGTACTTATTAAATATAATAGAACGAAGATGGGAAGGAAATATTTCCCTAATTAGGTTAAGCCCTCCCAGTCAACATGATTGCTTTGCATCCTATACCTTTTCTCTATGACACTTACCACAGCTACCATCTCTCCCACTAGAATTTAAGTTCCATAAGGGTGAAGATGATGAAGTATATTCATATTTTTTGTTGAATTCCAAGCATCAAACATAGTACCTTGCCTAGAAAAGCATTTAATAACTAGTGTGAAATGAATAGATAACAATGAATGTCTCTAGTGACCTTTCATGAGATTTTTATTTTCTTCTTTGGCAACAGCTGTATTCCCCAACTGTTTGTTTTTTAAAATCTTTATTGTTGAGAGTATTACAAATGTCCCACAAATGTCCCCCAACCCCTTTTCCTCCCATGGCCCCCTCCACCTGGGTCTCGCTCCACCCCAGGCCTTCACCACTCTATTATCTGTGTTCATAGGTCATACATATATGCATATAAGATCTTTGGTTAATCTCTCCCTGCTCCCTCCCCTTCCCTCTGAGATGTCTTTGTCTGTTCAATGTTTCCATGCCTCTGGTTCTATTTTATTCATCAGTTTATTTTGTCCATTAGATTTCTTGTCTGTTTGACTTTTAAATTCAGTTGTTGACAAGTATGTGTTTATTATCATTTTATTATTCATATTTTGGATCCTCTTCCTCCTGCCCCTCTTCATCCTCTTAAAGAATACTCAACATTTCATGTAATACTAATTTGGTAGTGATGAACTCCTTCAGCTTTTTCTTGTCTGCGAAGCTCTTCATCTGACCTTCAATTCTAAATGATAGCTTTGTTTGGGTAGAGCAATCTTGCTATTCATCACTTTGAATATTTCTTGCCAGATTTATTCCCTTCTGGCCTGCAAAGTTTCTGTTGAGAAATCAGCTGACAGTCGTATGGGCACTCCCTTGTAGGTAACTGACTGCTTTTCTCCTGATGCTTTAAAGTTTCTCTTTTTGTCTTTAACTCTTGGCATTCTGATTATGATGTGTCTTGGTGTGTGCCTCTTTGGATTCCTCGTTTGGGATTCTCTGGACTTCCTGGATTTGTAAGTCTATTTCTTTTACCAGGTGGGGGAAGTTTTCTGTCATCATTTCTTCAAATAGGTTTCAATATTTCATGTTCTCTCTTCTTCTGGCACTCCTATAATGTGAATGTTGGTACTCTTGCAGTTGTCCCAGAGGCTCCTTACACTATCTTCATATTTTTGGATTCTTTTTTATTTTTGCTCTTCTGAGTAGGTGGTTTTTTTTTTTTTTTTTTTTTTTTAAATATATTTTATTGATTTTATACAGAGAGGAAGGGAGAGATATAGAGAGTTAGAAACATCGATGAGAGAGAGTCATCGATCAGCTGCCTCTTGCACACCCCCTACTGGGGATATGCCCGCAACCAAGGTACATGCCTTTGACCGGAATCGAACCCGGGACCCTTCAGTCCCCAAGCCGACGCTCTATCCATTGAGCCAAACCGGTCCCGGCTGAGTAGGTGTTTTTGCTTCCTCATATTCTAAGTTGTTGATTTGATTCTCGGAATCCTCTATTCTCCTCTTGAATCCTTGTAAATTATTCTTTATTGCAGTTAGTATATGCTTAATATCTGACTGGTTCTTTTTTTTTGACTGGTTCTTTTATATGTCTTTGACATTCTCACTAAGATCCTTGAAAGTCTTACTAAGTCCACTGAAGCTCCCATTAATTCACTTCAAACTCTTATTAAAATCCTTGAGTAAACTTATAATCATTGAATTCTGTATCCAATAGTTTGCTTGCTTCCATTTCTTTTACTTGTGACATGTTTCTTTGTCTCCGCCTGTTAGCTACTTCCCTGTATTTGTTTCTCTACATTAGATAGAGCTGCTACATCTCCTGGAATTAGCCTTGTGTGGTATGTGTCCTATAGGGCCCAGTGGCTCAGTTTCCCTAGTCACCTGAGCTGGGCACTCTAGGTAGGCCCATGTGTGCACAGTCTTGTAGTTGAGCCTTGACTTTTTCTTGTCTGTGAAGCTTTTTCCAACTGTTTTTAAAAAATGTTTTAAAAATATGTTTTTATTTATTTCAGAGAAGAAGGGAGAGGGAGAGAGAGAGAAACATTGATGATGAGAGAGAATCATCAATAGGCTGCATCCTGCATGCCACTGAGGATAGACCTTACAACCTGAGCATGGGCCTTGATCAGGAATCAAACCATGACCTCCTGATTCATGGGTCAACACTCAATCTCTGAGCCACACTGGCTGGATTCTCCAACTGTGTTCTTTTTTTTTTTTTTTTTTTAATGTTTTTATTGATTTCACAGAGAGAAAGGGAGAGAGAGAGAAAGAAACATCAAGGATAAGAGGGAATCATTAATTGACTGCCTCCTGCACCCCCCAACCCCCACTAGGGATTGAGCTCAAAATCCAGACATGTGCCCTAACCAGGAATCGAACAAATGATTTCCTGGTTCATGGGTGGATGCTCAACCACTGAGCCATACTGGCTGAGCTCTCTATTTTTATAATGAACTTTATGACTTCTAAAATCAAGAATAAGCTCTAGCTGGTTTAGTTCAGTGGATAAGAGTGTCGGCCTGTGGACTGAAGGGTCTTAGGTTCGATTCCAGTCAAGGGCATATGCCCAGGTTGTGGGCTTGATCCCCAGTAGAAGACGTGCAGAAAGCAGTCAATTAATGATTCTCATTCATCACTGATGTTTCTCTCTCTTACTCTCCCTTCCTCTCTGAAATTATTAAAGATATATTAAAAAATAAAAATAAGCCGAAACCGGTTTGGCTCAGTGGATAGAGCGTTGGCCTGCGGACTGAAAAGTCCCGGGTTCGATACTGGTCAAGGGCATGTACTTGGTTGCAGGCACATCCCCAGTAGGGGGTGTGCAGGAGGCAGCTGATCGATGATTCTCTCTCATCAATGTTTCTAGCTCTCTATCCCTCTCTCTTCCTCTCTATAAAAAATCAATAAAATATATTTTAAAAATAAAATAAAAATAAATAAATAAAAATAAGCCCTAGCTGGTTTGGCTCAATGGATAGAGCGTCAGCCTGCGGACTGAAGAGTCTCAGGTTCAATTCTGGTCAAGGGCACATGCCTAGATTGTGGGCTTGGTCCCCCATAGGGGACATGCAGGAGGCAGCCAATCAATGATTTTCTCTTATCATTGATGTTTTTATCTTTCTTTCCCTCTCCCTTCCTCTCTAAAATCAATAAAATATATTGAAAATAAATAAATAAAAATAAGCCTTAGCCAGTTTGGCTCAGTGGAAGGAGTATTGGCCTGAGAACTGAAGGGTCCCAAGCTTGATTCCAGTCAGGGTACACACCTGCGTTGCAGGCTCAATTCCCAGTTTGGGGCATGTTGGAGGCAGCTGCTCTCATCATTGATGTTTCTATCTTTCTCGCCTTCTCCCTTCTTCTCTGATATATCTATATATACAATATACTTTTATTTAATAAAATTTAAAAACAACAACTCTAGATAAAATGTATGAATCACAAAACCAATCATAAAAATCAAAAGGGACTTCAAGAAATCAGGCTTTTGCCGAAACCGGTTTGGCTCAATGGATAGAGCATCGGCTTGGGGACTGAAGGGACCCGGGTTCGATTCCGGTCAAGGGCATGTACCTTGGTTGCGGGCATATCCCCAGTAGGGGGTGTGCAAGAGGCAGCTGATCGATGATTCTCTCTCATCGATGTTTCTAACTCTCTATCTCTCTCCCTTCCTCTCTGTACAAAATCAATAAAATATATTTAAAAAAAAGAAAAAAAAGAAATCAGGCTTTTGATAAACTGGGTGGTGTGAAAGTCAGTTGCAATTTTCCAGAGGGCAGCTAAGAACCTGACATCATTGGGCTAAAGTGACTTCTCCTTTGGTTCAAATCCACAGCCTCCTGATATGCCTGAGTAAAATCACACCCCATGGCAAGAAAAGCAGGAACATAGTATGAGAAGAGGACAACACCCAGAAAGAAGACTCCTCAAGCACAGGATGGCCCAGAGGCGCCCACACACTGTGTCCCACTGTGTTGTGTAAGACACCTCAGAACTGGACAGACCTGCAGCGTGAGGCCTGACTTCTCGCCAGGAAACAAGGCCCCATAGACAGACTACAGTCTCTCTGGCACACTTCCCTCATTCCTGTTACCTGGCTGCCGTGAAGGTGTTTGAGGTTGTGGCCCCTATTTTAAACATTCCTTCATGCAGAAAACACCTTTGAAAGTGACATGGGAATGTGTTCACAGATTCTCTTATTCTATAGGAGTGAGAGCCCACCTCACACCAGGACTCATGAAGCCCTGAGAAGGAATGTCATTTCTGTCCTCAATAGCCTCAGTCAACATGGAAATAAAAGAATCAGAGGTGAACACCATGAGACCTGTGTCAACATGGACTGAGAGTGCAGAGAAAAGATCACACCCTGGGTTGGTACTTGTTCATACCAAGTACAGTCTGGGGCTTGCATAGGTTTGTAGCTGATTCCATATAAACTTAACTGAAGTCTACTATATTTCTGCCCTCACCAGCACTACTTGGTCCATAGCTAATGGAAAAGGACGACCCTGAGGGTTGATGCACTTACAATGCCATGAAGTTGGGCCACCTTGTTGCACAAGTCAGGACGCCACTTTTGAAGGGCCAGGTAGAAAGGGTTTTTCAGGAGATCCTCATCATAAAGAGCCATATGGACTTCAGATGGGGCAAAGCGAGATCCTGGGACAAGGGAGGAAAAGGCAGTAAATGACCACCGTCGGATTCATAAAACACATGCAAGTCTGGATCTGGCAATTTCTAAAAATGATCCCTGACACAGTACTCTACACACCTAACATCCCAGCAGGAAATGTCAAAGACAATCCATCAGTTCTAGCATGACGTGTTTTCTCTGGTTAAATTTATAAATTATGCTCAGGAAATTAAACTCCAAGTCACTGCAAATGTGAAAATGGCTTTTTTAGAACATCCTACATGACTAAAATTATGACATTTTATTAAAGATATGTGTGTATTTTTAATCAAATATTTTAAGCATAAAGAAAAGTAAAAACATAAAACTACCACCCAGAATTACCAATACTTAACACTTTGCCATATTTGCCTCAGACTTTCTTTAAGAGTCTACCAGAACAGACTGGAACCCCCGCTGTGCCCCTCCTGATCCCATTTTCTCCTCCCCTTCCAGAAGCAGCCATGATCCTGGAGTTGAATATCATTCCTGTTTACATTATTATTCCTTTAACACTTATACATTCATAAATAAACTGGAATATTGTTTTATGTGGCTCAAAATTTACATAAATGGCATCACAGTATAAGTATTCTGGAACATATCCTTTTCAATCAACATTACATTTGCAAGTTCTATCCATGCTGATCCACACAGTTCTCATTCAGATTTCTGTATAATATCTTTAAGTAAACATGACACAATTTATTTATCTAATATCCTATATTTAAGTTGTTTCTACATTTCTATTATTACAAACAATGCTGGAATGACCACTCTGTACCAGACTACACATCTAGGAATGTCCCAAGGAGGCAGGCACTACAGGGCGGATCCACCAGATGCTGGCAAGGCCTTGTGCTCAGGATTTATAGTTATTTATATATCTGGATTTTAAAAAATGCTGCAAATATCTTCTCTCAATCTGCAACTGTCTTTTCATTTTTTCAAATGAGTGTTTTCAGATATCAAAGTGTTTGATTTTTTTTAATTAAAAATTTTTTAAAAAATATATTTTATTGATTTTTCACAGAGAGGAAGAGAGAGGGATAGTTAGAAACATCAATGAGAGAGAATCATCGATCAGCTGCCTCTTGCACACCCCCCACTGGGGATGTGCCCGCAACCAAGGTACATGCCCTTGCCAGAAATCGAACCCGGGACCTTTCAGTCCGCAGGCTGACGCTCTATCCACTGAGCCAAACCGGTCCCGGCAAAAAATTTTTTGTTTGTTAATCCTCACCCAAGGTTGTTTTTCCATTGGTTTTTAGAGAGAGTGAAAGGGAGGGAGAGAGACAGAGAAACATCTATGTGAGAGATATATTTCGATTGGTTGCCTCCTGTGCATGCTCTGACCAGGATTGGGGATCAAGGTACATGCCCTTGTTTAGTATCAAACCTGGGACCCTTTAGTGTGAGGACCAACACTATCTACTGAGCTAAAGGCATTGAAGTGTTTGACTTCTTTCTATTTTTTTTTTTTTTTTTTAATTGACAGCAGGAAGGGCACCAGGGGTCTGACTGGTGGGGTCAGACCAAACCTGGGTTCAGCAACCTCAGTACTTGGGTTCCGGCTATGAAAGAATTCAGAGGAAGACCCAAACTGTAAGAGAACATTTATTTGGTAAATTATAGAGGTAGAAGTAGCTCGTAGAAGAAATTGGTTTAGAAAACGAGTTATTGAGATAAAGAAAGGGCCTTTGGAGCTTGGGAGTGGGTAAAGTGCCAGGGGGAGGTGGAGGGGTAGGGAAGAGGGATGGGAAAGGCACTGGCTTCTCCCTGGAGGGAGAGCACCAGTGAAGTGTTTGATTTTAATGTAGTTGAACTTGTCAATCTTTGCCTTAACAGTCAGAGCTTTTAGGATTTTAGGGAATCCTATAATCTGGCATGTCTCTTTGCAAAGGGACTTAACATGCCCCCAATCAGAAAGTGGTGTCTACTTCCTCACCCCTTGAGTCTGACTCAGCCCATGAATTGCTTTAACTAGCTAGCAGAATTGATACTCTGTGATTTCTGAGGGTTGACCTCAACAGGCCTTGCAGAGTCCACTCTAATTCTCTTGGTGCCCTGAGTCTACTCTGCTATGAAGAAGTCCATGGGATGAAAGAGCATCAAATAAGACAGAAGCCCAGGTGTTCCAGAGAGCACAGCCATCCCACCAGCTGAAGAACCACCTGCCACCCCACAGAACAGTAGGAAGTAATAAAATGTGGCAGTTTTAAGCTACTAAGTTTTAGGCTGATCTGTTCTGCAGCAAAGGCTATCCCTGAAACCACATCCTTTCCAATACCAAGGCCATAAAAACTGTCCCTATAATTTCTAAGAATTCTTAAAACATTTTCATTTTTAGGTGGTCTTTATATTTATACTAATGGCCCAGTGCACAAAATTCATGCACTCGGGAAGGGGGATCCCTCAGCCTGGCTTGTGTCCTGTCATAGTGCGGGAGCCCTCCATTCCTCGCCCCAGATGGGTGGGCGAGGTAGGCCCCGCCCACCCATCTGGGGTTCCTCAATTGATTGCCCCAAAGAGGTAGGACTGAGCTAAGGGTCCTGCCTCCACGCCGTGTGGAGCCGTGGGACCCTTAGGCCTTGCCACATGGAGGTCTCCGTTGGGCCCCAGGCCTCCTGGTGATGGACTGTGACAGCGTGATGCAAGTCCCGATGCTGCAAGTCCCTGCCCACCCATGCCTGCTGCGCATTAGTCATTATGTGAGGGCATCCTGACCATTAGCATATCAGCTCTTTATTATATAGATGTTATAAATCAGACATCTAATTTAATATTTTTCCATAAAGCAAATTGTCAGTCTGTTTGGAATGCTATGACAGAATACCATAGGCTAAGTGGCTTAAACAACAAAAATTTATTTCTCACAGCTTTGGTGACTAGGAAGTCCAAGATCAAAGTGCCAACAGATTTGGTTCTTGGTGAGGGCCCACTTCCTGGATTGTAGACCGTCTCACTGTATTCTCACATGATGGAGAGAGTATCCCTGTCTCTTTCTCTTTTTATAAGGGCATTAATTCCATAATGAGGGCCTTACTCTTATAGCCTTACCTAACACTAATTAGATCCCAATGTCCCACCTCCAAATACCATATTAAGGATAGGGCTTCAACATATAAATGTGTGTGTGTGTGTACGGATGACATAACAGTAAGCCAATTATGTTTTTTTAATGTTTTTATTCTATTTATTTTAGAGAGAGAGGAAAAGAGAAACATCGATGTGAGAGTGTAACAGCGATTGGCTGCCTCCTGCACACTCCCTATGAGGGATCAAGCATGCAATCTGGGCTTTCAGTGTACAGGACAATGCCTAACCAACTAAGCCTGGTCGGCCAGGACCCCATCATTGTTTTCTAAATAGTCTATCCCTTTCACATGGCTGATAATGCTATTTTTTTTTGCCATACTCCAGTTTCCCATACATATTTCCTCTGTTTTTAGGCTCTATTCTGTTTCAATGATCCAGACCAGTGCTGTCCAACATATGTATGTAGGAAATATAATAACATACCTATTATGCATAGTTACATATGTAATTTAAAATTTTCTAGTAGCCACATAAAAAGGGGAAATTAATTTTAATAATATATTTTATTTATCCTAATATGTTCAAAAGATTAATTTTTAACATGTGACCAATATTTTAAAGTTATTAAAGACATATTTTACATTATTTTTTTACCCCATCTAAGTCTTCAAATTTTACGTTTATAGCATTTCTCAGTTCATACTAGCCACATGTGCTTAAGAGCTGTTATATTGAACAGAGCAGGGCCACATTATGTTATAACTACAGCTTCACAATCTGCCTTGATATCTCATAGAGAAAGACCTCCCTCCTTGTTCTCCAAAATTGTCTGGTTATTCCCACTTGTTTGTAATGTCACACGAATTAGAATCAGCTTACCAATTCCATGAAAAATTCTGTTGGGATTTTTATTGAAACTACTAATTTGAGGACAAGAGAGTCAACATCTTTATAATAAACTTATTATCCATGAACATGGTATGATGTGTCTTTCCATGTACATCTTCTTCTATGTCCTATATAAAGACCATATATAACCCAGCCAGTGTAGCCCAGTGGTTGAGCATTGACCTATGAACCAAGAGGTTAGGGTTAGATTCTTGGTCAGGGCACATGCCAGATTACATGCTTGATCCTCAGTAAGGGGCATGCAGGAGGCAACCGATCAATGATTCTCTCTCATCATTGATGTTTCTCTTTCTCTCTCTCCCTTTCCCTTCCTCTCTGAAATCAATAAAAATATTATACAAAATATCATAACTTTTATTAACATTATTTATATGTTCTGTATAAATTTGTTCCTTTTATGAATGGGAACTCCATTGTTCCTGGTTTGCGGTTTTTACTGAGTTCTCAGAGGGGAATATGAAAAATGGGCACAGAAAAGGAGTCAGAGTTCTAGCCATGTCACTGTACCTTTTGAGTCTCCATCTCACACTGCGCAATAGAGAATACCAGTATCTTTCTTACAGGATTTCCATTTCCATTCCTCCCTCATTACTTTTGCCATCCTGCATACGAAAGTACCACTACTTACTGCTAGCCCACATGGTCCCTCTGTGAGAATTAAAAAGGGATACCAGGGCACATGGGTTGATAAACAGCTAACAGGCTACATATCAGCCCGTTTCCCACAGTGCCCCTCTCCCAAGCAGAGTAACTTTACAATAAATAACCTGCACATTGCACACTATAGCTCTATTGTTAATGTTTGACATTTTCCTTTAAAAATCTACTCCCTTTTAAAAACTTATTTAAAATTTATTTTAAAAGAATATTATACTTAAATGAAAAAAATCTGTATCAAATTCCATAAAAAGAAGATAAACTTAAAATTAAAAGTTATAAGAACAATTCACACTATTTAAAACCTTGCTAGATACTATTGCCTGGCAAAGGTTCTGAGCTCAAGCCTGTGG